CGTACCATATTTCCTTCCTTGTCTCCTTATTATTTCCTCTAAGCTTTCTAGGCATAATGATTTAAGGGTTATATAAGTTACTTACTTTCATTACTACTAAGTTCTATCTGATAATTACATTTCATAATCACGCATTCTGTTGTAGTTGCCATCTTCTAAATGGTATCCCATCCCTACAAATGTTGCACATCCTTCACCCTGATTTTCACCTTTATCAAACCCTAGCAGACTCATAAGCAGGTAAAATAAAATCAAGGTGAGGAATGCAAACATTTTCAGGTTTGACTTCAGACTCTACTACAAACCTTTCACGTTCTTATCCGTTTGCAATCAGACTCCTAGCATTCCATTGCAAAAGGTGGAATACCATACAAATAAATAACACTCTGAGACCCTCCATCATTATTAGTACTCAACATACCATGTGTATATTCAGCTTTTATATCTTGATGCCTAAGAACTCCTCTGCAGCTTCTACCGCCGTCTCCGGGACAGAGACCGAACACAACTGACAAACAAATGCACATGCAAATGAGCAGGGCGGGCGAGCAATCGAGGGGACACATGAAGCAATCAGGACAGGACACAGAGCTCGAACTTTAGAGAAGCAAACACATTAAAATGTTTCCGTTTATGTATTGAAGAGGAAATACTACTTGCACCAGCTCTTTAATCACAATGGCTGCTAAACGCGTAGCAGGAACACAGCAGGTTCAGATGGTGATTTGAGTCAACTAGGGCACAAACTTACAGAGTGGAAATGTACAGATTAGAGCTGCAAGAGTTGGAGAAAAAGTCATACTGCGATTATTGTGGACAATTTTGTGATATGCGGTTCGATATGATGGAACAAATGGTGCTATGAGTCTACTTGCTTGATTATCAAGGAAAATGCACAAAATACTGACATTTTGAAATGTGTATTTATCAACTTGAACAAAGTTAAACAAACATATGAAGAAATATGAGTTTTTTTGACATGTGATGGAAATTTGATGTTTTAAATATGTTTACTGTTTTACCTTTTATGCTGCATTATTATAGGCCTATGTATCACTGCGTGGTGTTTGATCATTTTGTTATGTTGCAGCTAGGGGAAGGTTGCCAATGTGAAAGTAGCTGAATTTCCATTTCAGCCACTAGTCCAAAAATACTGATTTTGATTTTGTAAACAGCGGAGGAACTAGTTTAAATGAGTAGTATAATATTATAACATTAAATAAAAATATAATTTTCAGTAATAGTATACTGTTAGTGTTAATATGTTAATTACTATAGTCATTATAATTTCATGTAATTATTATTAACTTTATTCCACTAGCTGAAAATTAATTCCAGTTACAGCCGTTTTATTTCTGTGGGCTGTTTTTGTTTATTTAATCCTCTACATTGGTCACTAATTTGTTAATGCTTAGCACTAACTTGTCAATAATCATTTTGTTCAACATTTGAACGTTTGCTGTAGAACGTCAAACTGTTTTTTAATCTCCCGCCTCATCCAGGCTGTGATTGATCGGTTGACGAAAAGTGACACTGAAAAGCACATCAGCTTTGAAATGTTGAAAATGTTGAACAACCAAAGGCACCGATACAGCTAACGTTAAATGGCCAGCTGACCAAACCCAAACAATATTTATCTTCTATCCTATTTTCTTCTGTCTTCCCGCTTTAGCTGCCAACGACGCACCTCTCTCTGTCACCCGATTTCGCATACCTGCCGAGAACTGCATGCACCTCCAAGTACTACTTTTAAATGCTATAATATTAAATTATTATAACACTTAGTAGAATCAGCATTCCTTGACATTCAGCAAAAATACGTGGTGAAAACTGCGTTTGATCAGTGTGCACAAAAAGGACCTCGAGAGCTGGATGCATAATAGGCTACCTGCCAAGATAAATGAGCACACAGAGACGAGTGTCACAAACACAGCACACTTTCTTTGTTTAATGAAATCGCATCCTTTTTGCGGTTATGTAATCGCACAGGATGACATCGCAGTTGCAATTGGATTTGATTAGTTGTGTCTAAATATTCACGTCCACCGGCTGCCAGGTGTAACTGCTGTGTAGCTGACTGAACAAACTGACAAAACAAATGTTAGCTTGTTACTCCATTGTGACCCGTTTAGCGTGAAGAGATGGAAACAACACATCTGACCCGACGTGAGAAAATGCTGTTTATAATGATGAAGACTGGAAAGATTTGACATAAAATTCAAGGCTACATGACCAAACAGCATCAGCTAAGTTAAGAGGGGTATGGTCTGGAGGAGAGATTATGGACGCAACCCTCATTCTGGGCATTTACCCTGAGCATCTGGATAAGCCAGATGAGAGTGCCATACAAGTCTCCTTGTTGAGGGTGGGGTTCTGTCACAATCCATCCGTGACTCTAGTATGTTTGGTGTTCTCCCGTATTTTCCATTTGTTTCCCCCATGCCTGGTGTTTTGTGTGTTTGTGTTGCAGGCGTGGTCTACATCTCCGGTTTCTGTCTATACAATGGTAATGCAACTCTCAGCCAAAGAACCTTACTTGAGACCTCTTGTGCTTTTTGTCTTAGTATTTTTCTGTTTTTCAGCCCTTCTGCTCCGTCTCAACTCAGACCACTATCGTTTTAACCATCCTCATAAAAACACTTTTTATCTTAACATCAGCCTACCGGTCTGCGTCAGCTCCTGGGTCTGTCAAAACTGAAACCCAATAGACTCTCCATAGTAAGCGTTCCAGAATTCTGTTCTTTGTATTTCCTAGTGATAGTTTAAGATCTTTTTTCTGTGTACCTTGACTTTGCCTTTTGTCCTGTGATTTGGATACTTTTGCTGTTTTGACTTAGTTCCTGTGTACTGACTTTTCCACTCAACTGTCTGTTGTCTAAAGTCTTGCCTTTGAGTCCTTTGTCAGTGATTCCAGTCGTGATTCCATCATCCTCAGCAGTTTCTTTTCAGAGAATATGCAGATAATTTGTTCCTTTGTGGATCACCAAGAATTCAGGGCTCCTGAGGGTCTCCTTTTTCCATTTCATTGCCTGACCAATCGGGCTGCAGAGTTTAGACAGCACTTTCTTAGAAGGAAAAAGCGTGTTTGTGTCCAAGAATTTCCCATTACAGTCAGCCAGCAGGACCACCTGTGCTGCTTGCTCTTCAGGCTGAGTGCAGGGAAGCGGGGATGGGCAGGGCTGGCTGAGTGGATGTCTCAGGAGGTGCCAGGGCGTTGTTGGGCCTCTTGGTCTAAAAAGTGAAGCCAAGGGAAGTGCCTTAAACCTACATTCTTTCTAACAGCTAGCACGGGTGACTCTATGAGTGACCTGTGATGAGCCTACTTCTTACTTGATTTATTACCTCAGTACCATACAGCTTGGCCATCTGAACAGAACAGTAGACACGGTTCATTGCGCTGTTGTTTTTAAACCAGAGGTAAATCATTGGTAAATATCATTATCCTTCTGGCTGGCTGAGAAAGCTAAAAACTAACTGTGTAACAGATTTAACTCCATGTTACAGTTCTGAATACTCTATCGAGGTAAAAGGGTCAGTTTACCCAAATTACCAAAACATATTTTCTCATTTTCTTCTACTGGTATTTAGTCATGCCTAGATGTTGTGAGCCAACAACCAAAAAGAGGGCACAAAACAAAGTTGGTGAATGGAATTTAATTTGTGCTGCTCGAAGCATTGAATATTCACACTTAAAAGCAAACAATAAAGTCTCTTTCCAGACACAATGTCTTAAAAAGCTTAAAAAGCAAACATCAGTGTCTCTGTCCTAGTTATTCTGGAAAATCCACTGATTACACGGCCGACCGTTTTCATTGTAAACAATTAATTACTAGAAAATAGTCCCTGAACTGACTCCATCTTCACAGGTGTTTCTAACTATTGCGTAAAAGTACAGTTACCTCAGTTTGTGGTGTGCCACATCATGGGCCTAGACATCAAATGTTTGATGTGATTCAAATCAAACTTATTATTTCAACCACCAGCATGTCCATTTGTTGACCTGTGTACTTTTCTGGTCATTGTTGTTGTTAGTATGCACAGCTCTATTTTGCCTTTGATGGTGGAAATGACACATTTATATATATGCTATAAATATTATAGAATAAACAAAACATATCTGTATAATACTGTACATAGTCTGGTTAAATCAGAGAAAAGCAGCAGAGTACAGTGATGCCAACGTCCCAGCTGCGTGGTGTGCTAACATACTAACCTAATTATACTGACCAAACCCCAAAAACCATAAATAGTTGACACGGAAAGCAGTGAAAGCACCAGCTAACACCTGGAAACCTGCTGCCTTAAATATATCCTCTAGCTGTGGAGAAAGTTTGCTTAACCATGTGGTAAAATATTAGACGTGTCTAATTTTTTAATATTAATAATATCCCCCATGTGGGACACCAAAGTTTAAAACCAGTCTGGACAAACACACAGCATGCCCCCTGCACAGCTGCTGCTCTGTGACTGATGTCAACATATTATTATTCCACCTGACAAACAACACAAGGAGCTTCTGAATGGACTAAAACTCTACATCAGAAGAAGACAGTATAGCCTACTTGTGTGGTATAATGCAATTTTACAATATCACACATTTACACCATACCCAGATATTTTAATGTGTATTAGAAACCAGGAAGGTAAATGCAGCTTGTGTGAATTCAGTTAAACTTACTGTTATCTTGCAGAACATCACTGTGCATGCAATATTTTTAGATCAGTATATGATATATAAATTGCATGACTATGGGAAAAGTATTTAGCTGTAGTGTAGGACTTTCTGGATGCTAGAATATATCATTCTCATTTCCCAGTCTTGGTGATTTAAAATGTTTTCTCATGCAAGTCAGAGGGGCAGGGGAGAAAATGATAACTGCTAGGCTACTACATACAGTTACGGCTACAGTAGCTTATATCAGTATTTATTGTCCCTGAGAGCCGATGAATGTCACTCAGCTGATTGAATACATTCACTGCAGGAGCTATAACACACTCACCCAGATTCCTCAGGGGATCGATGGCCTTGCACTCGGACGTCCCGGCTCCATTCTTCACCACCGAGGCTGCTTTCTTTCTATTGCCCAACATAACGCATAAGGAGGACGGTGCTTTATTTCCCTGACTCCCTCCCTTCCGTTGCCTTCCCTGTGCGTTGTTTCTCAGACAGGAGATCAGCAGTCTAGTGGATCAGCTGTACGCAGCTCCCGCATGAGGAAAATGTGAGTCTCTGCAGCGCAGGCTGTATCTTGACGGAGGAACGCCGGAGCTTTGCCAAACCTTCACTCCGAGATTGAATTATAAACACAGAGCAGAAGAACTCAGGAGAGAGAAACCACAGTAATCACTGGCTTCCTGTAGTGAAATTCAAAATAAGAGTCGCCACTATAATAGGCCACTATTATACCAATACAAAAAATGATAAAGATATACAGAATAATTAACGAGGACTGTACAAAAAAATCACAATAGGAGCAAAAAAGAATTAGTGCAGTGTATATAGTTCAAAGTTGATGCAGCCGATGTAGACAATAAACTGTATAGATTTAGACACAGTTTACATATGCAACTCATTTTCCCAGAAAGGTGTAAATATTATTATAACAGTAGGCTAAATATTATTATGAATCATGAAGGTCTAACAATCATGAAGTATAGCAGCCTATGTTATAAATGTTATAATAACTTGACCAAATATTCTCACCTCATAGTTAAACTACTAGCCTTCCCGGCAGCTTTCAACCATATCTCATGTCTTCCTTAGTGGAAGGAGTTTTATTTAGAACATCTCAATCTATGCTTTAGGCTATTCAGAAGGTCCTCTTTATGAGTCATTTAATTGAAAAAGCCCATAACATGGAGACTGTTTTAGATCTGACTGAAACATGTTATAATGTTGTTAAAGTTGTTTTTTTCTTCATCTCTGCAAGAAAACTGCAAAACACTAATTGCCACCTCAGCATGGCATACACAAATGACACCAGATCCAAAAATATATTCAAAAATATAGTTTTGATTTGGTTTCTTTTCTGTCGTGTCAGTTAAAACGAATCAATTCTTTATTTGCAGTCTTGTTATGCTTTGGTTTTGAAGGCAAATTGTCAGTGTGTCCGGGTGTTCGATTGTGTGTCTCTGACAGCTTGACAACAGACGGAATTTAAACGGATTATGTGCCGAGGAGAGACGCTCGTGCGTCCAATGAAATAGCTTTCATTTCTCTCTACGGATCTTTAATTTTATCCAGATCACAGTGATGAACGGACTGATAACTGAAGTAGTTTATCCTGTAATACTGTCTGCTGTAATTTGGACATTGGTGCTGCACAATGATTTATATTCTATGTCTGCTAATAGCCTGCATGGACTGCAGAGGGTCTTTTGTGAATTGATGGCTCTCTCTCAATATATATACATAGGCTATATATATATATATATATATATATATATATATATATATATATATATATATATATATATATAGAGAGAGAGAGAGAGAGAGAGAGAGAGAGAGAGAGAGAGAGAGAGAGAGAGATTTTTATGGTCGCCACTTTAACTGTAAAGGGGCGTGGTCACGCAGGTGTCATGTGATTTAAACAGTTGACACGGAAGCACGGAAGTCGTCTACTCGGAGTGGCCGGAGACGGTCGGTCAGTCTCGTCGATGGATAACGTCCACGAGCAGCTTCGGAAATAAACGTTCTCGTTGAAGCAAACCCACAAACAGTCGAAGCTACACTTTCTACACGGTGCAGTTAGCATTTAGGTGTGATTTCTCTGTTGGGACCAAACAGTCTGTGTTGGTGATGACAGCTGGCAGGACGCAGAGCCTGTGAGGTGGGTCAAGTTCATAAGCTAACCAGCAGTGCTAAGCTAACTTACACCGGGGTTCTTGTTAGTTAGCCAGCTCAGCTAACTCCTCAATGCTGCACTTAGCATTCTTGTTTTGTCTTATTAAACCAAACTTGAATTCAGTGATACGACGTTTCTCAGCAGAGATATGCAGCAGAATATCATGTTTATGCTTAAGCTGAACCAATTGGGAAGTGTTCTGTTGCTGAAATTAGCATTATAACTAGAAACAGCGCTATAATCAGAATAACTTATGTTAATTACGCTTTACGGCTGTAGGTTAACACGCATCCCAACGATCCTCTTCTGTTGAAAACAACATTAAAGTGCCTGTACAAAGTAGTATGTCCGCATGTTTTCGTTTTTTATTAACGTTAGAGTTTTCTGAAAGAGAAAAATAAACTGAACTCGCGAAATGAAAGCGAATTATTACAAATTCTAATAAGAAATGATAAAGGAGCCTGTTTCAAGATATTTCAGATTAAATATAAGTGACCTGTATCTGAACGGTCAGACTGCTGTTGTGTATGACCCTGTCACAAATGTAAAGAAGCAGCAAGATAAATACAGTAAATGGTGTTCATGGTTGCGTAATTTCTGATTCTACTATCCTGACTGACTGATGCTGCCGCTGTGTTTGTGTGCTCTCTCAGCTCCCCTCCTCCATCCAGCCAGTTAAACAAGTCAGTGTCATGCCGGTTCTGGCTATGGCAGAGCCTGTGGTTGATCACCAGAAACAGTTTCAGGCTGCTGTGGATGTCATCCAAAACCTTCCCAAAAATGGTATTTAGCCTTTTAACACCATCACATAATCTCTCACACCATGTGACTGAAAGTTTGTTGCTTGTTAGACCTTAGAAACTGTTCATGAACTGTATCTTTGCTGTAGGCTTGAACCTTGTAAGGCCTCAGGGCAGTTGGCCTGTTAGTGCAGTGTCACTGAATACTGTCACTTATAATATTAATAATAATAATAATAATACATGCAAGTCAAGCTGAAGTGTGGCTCCTTATGAGTTGTTAAATATTCCATCCAATATTTATTGTCAACAAATGTCTTGATTGACTTTGGTGTAAAGCTATTTTCATAACAGAGTGAGCTGCATATTTTATTTAAAAATACTTCTGATGTGGAAAATATGTCTTGCAGGCACCATCTAATGATCTGCACTCTCCTTCTGTTTCCATTTTTCCAGACAACTAGGGAAATAGGGAAAAACCTGATAAATGTCTGTGTGATCCTGCAGGTTGCTACCGGCCGTCTTATGAGGTCATGCTGCGTTTCTACAGTCTGTACAAGCAGGCAGTGTGTGGACCCTGTACAGTGCCCCGACCCGGCTTCTGGGACCCAGTGGGCCGATACAAATGGTCTGTATTTGTGTGTGTGTGTGTGTGTGTTAGCTTGTATATCCCTGTAATCAGTGCTTAATTTATAAATTTATTAGGTGCCTGAGCGCGTGAAATGTGTAATTATTAATTTACAATCAAATAATGAATTATTTAAAACGGATCGTGTACCTGCAGATTGTTTTAAAGGGCGATCAGAAACCATTATTAGCTACCAAATCTAATAGTAAATAAGGAAATCCATTGGACTTACCCTATTAGGCTGGATGAAATCTTGTATTTTATTTGTGTAGAAGGGCAGTGCAGTGACGGAGCATACTTTAGAGGTGCCGAAGCGCAAAAGACTTAAACTCAGAGGTACCGGAACTACGCTGGCTAGCTCCGGCACAAATTAAGCACTGCTCGTAATCAGTCAGCTCAGTTATTTAGTAGCACATACACCAGCTATTTGGTTGTTCTGATAAGTGCTCTTCTTTCGTCTCCCCACAGAATGCCATGCTGTTTGTACTGTACATCACATTTCTGTTATTTCAAGGTTGCTACATTTTTGCATGGAGCTTGGTGTGGCGTTCTCTCTGTGTGTTAGTTACTTTATATAAAAGTACCGGAATGGATTCAACTTGGACTTTATGTGCTTTAACATAAGCTACAAATGTGTCCAGCTGGCTACTGTACCTCCAGCCAGACCTGGGTTTAGAGACCACTGTACTTGCCAAAGTCATGGCTTATTCCCAGGGCTGAAATTGGCTTTTGTTTTGTGTGATCGCTCTAGCTTGCTCCCTTAGGTCCAAGCAGGGTTAGTTTAGCTCTTATCTTGCTTCTGTGGGCAGTGATCTTCTCAAGGTCTGCTGCACTTAATCCGATCCCTGCGCTGTGTATCTCTGTCCCTCCACTCTGCCCTCACACTCCTTGAGAAAAACAACAGCTACATCACAATGCTGTTTGTGGATTTCAACACAATCTCCCCATGAAACTGATCAGCAAACTCAGCCCTCTGGGCTTCAGTACTACACTCAGCAACTGGATATTGAACTTCTTCACAAACAGATAGTTCAGATTGGTGGGCACACCTCCTCCACTCTAGTGCTCAACACCGGAGCCCCCCAGCCCTGTGCGCTCAGCCCCTTCCTGTTGACAATATTTCTCATCAGGGGAAAACCTTTCTCGCGAGACGCAGGAAATTTTTCACGCGCTGTCACATCACACATCAATTTTCTGACACAGTGAAAAACAAAGGAATAATTGATAACGTAGACTCAATGATGCGAATCGTCTAAAAAAGCGCAACTTCCTCTGTTTGGAACTGTGAGCTGCACCTTATCGAAGCTGCTGAAATTAACATATGATTTGTGGTGAGATTTATACCTGATCAAGTTTGTTCAGTTAGTTTTGGTTTTCACCTCCTTTCTCTTCCAGTACAGTCCCAAACGGTTCTGTGTTAGACAGTCTGAACGGGATAATGTAATGCACATCCGAGTATAGGGCAGGTAGACCTAAAAAAATATTATGAATTCTCATTAAATGATGATGTTAATATTACAACTTTTTTCATGACATTTCAGAGAACACAGACTGTTTTGAATGTGCAGAAAATTTTAAACAATTAAAATGATATTTTTTTATTTTTTTTTGAGGCGAAAAGCCTTGCACAAGCACATTAAAGAGGTTACTTTCCCAAACAAAACACCCAATCAGGAGGGTAGACTAAATCATGCCTGCATGTGTGCTGACTCAGCAGGGATGATATTACATGAGAAAAGTTGATCTACAGAAAAAACGGATCTGAAAGCAACACAGAATGCTTTAGTCTTACTGCTTTATATTCTGTTACATTTTAAGTAATTACTTGCCAACTGAATTTTGTTTCCTTTACATAAGTAAAGACTAACTTAAAGTGGTGCAAAAAAATTCACTGAATGCCCAAAATGAAGTGTTTATTGTTCAATATTTTCATATAATTTAACATTAAAGATTTCTTAAATATAGTTTTAAAATCTCGTCTAGTCTCGATCTCGTGCGCAAAGTGTCTCGTCATACCACATCAGCAAAACCAAGGAGATTAAGACACACATTCCTGTCTGCATCAGTGGAGCAGGTGAATAGTTTTAAGTTCCTGGGAAACGGCATCACAGAGAACCTGACACTGTAATACCTGGAAACCGCCTAAGTCAATTGGCTAAAAATTCACTTGGCCTAGCAGAGAGCAGTACACTGTACATGAGCGGAAGTACTGTCGTTTAATCAGATGATGTGGACTGTGTTTTTTTTAAATTTAGATTGTTCTTGTGTATGTGTTAGGGATGCCTGGAGCCACCTGGGTGACATGAGCAGGGAGGGTGCCATGGCAGCATATGTGGATGAGATGAAGAAAGTAGCACAGGAGGTACATTTATTTCATTCAGATATTTCAATGTACCATACGTTGGTGTAGTATTTCTGCCATGTTTGCATCTGCACACCACAGATGTAAAAAAAAAAAGAAATAATAATCTGTTTACATTTTAATTAATGTCTCCAAAAATGTATACCCAATTTTTTCTTGGATCCAAAAAGGAGAAGTGAAAGGTCGTTCTGCAGCATGCTGCCTGGTCAGATGAACATAGTGACTTGTAATTAGTAATCTTGTGATAAATATAGGTTTCCATTGACTATGCAGGTCATTGACACCATGCCCATGAATGAGAAGACAGCCTCACTCTTCCACCACTTCGAGCCTCTCTACAGGGTGATAGACGACATGCCGAAGCCTCCAGAGTCACTGCTCAAACTCAGAGAAGGTCAGTGACCCTGAGGGTCTGTTTCTAACCAGCACTAACCAAACAGCTGGGGGGCTGCTTTGAGATCTGCTGGCAGATAATAATCTTTGATTAGAAGTTCAATTGAAATTAGATCTGCCCCGTCATTGTGCTCCACCTCTGATGAACCGACCAATTTTAGTAAACAAGGTGTCTGTGGGGAGCCTGAACTGTTTCTGATGCACTCCACACATACAGGACTGTGCAAGAGGGTTAGGCAGGGTTGGGAAGAAATGCTGTCAAGTAAGAATGCTTTGAAAAATAGATTAGATTTAATAATTAACAAAATGCAAAGTGAGTGAACAGAAGAAAAATCTAAATCATTATTTGGTGTGACCACCCTTTGCTTTCAAAACTGCGCCCCTTTACCCAAAGTCCCTCAGAAACACATTTTATCTGATTTCTGTCCTTGTGGCTTCTATACATAGACATAACAAGATAAATGTTTTTATGAAATGAGCGTTTCCATTAACCCAAAAGTATAAATTATTTAAAAAATAATAAACTGGCACATTGCTACTTTAAGCTGCACTAATTCCTTCTTTTTCACATTAACAACAGATCGAATGACTGGATCATTGACAAAAACCACAGAGAATCAGCACCACCTCTACAGTTCTGTGGATCATTTTAGCCTCATTGTAGTTTTCTGGCCGGCATACGCAGCCGGATTTCCAGCAGTAGCAGACAGTTGTTCAGTGAAAAATCTCTAAAAGCCACCGTACACCACCTGCTCAGCAGCAAACAGCAGACAGACACAGTAAGGAAGACCAGCTGATGAGCATAGTGGAGCATTTAGCAGCTAAAGAGCCAAATACTCATAAAATATAATATGTACTGACATTCATCAGGTGGACACAAACATGACTGTACACTGTTTGCTTACTGGTTTGGCTATGATAATATGTCAATGTTGTGTTTTCAGCTTGCTGTGCTGGCCCAATGTGGCCAAAAAGTCAATGAATGCAGCTCCAAAAGTAGTGGTACATACAAACTGTGATGGTGAGGTACGCCTCAGGATCCAGAAATCCCTCTCACACACTACAGCAAATAAATCTTTATTTAAATTATTCTGGTGGATTAATCAGATGGTTTCTTTTGGGCAGCAGGTCTTTACCAAACCTGGATACATGCTTACACTGATCATGAGAAGCCTGAATGTATGACTCGGATTATATTATAATATTATCCTAATTAGTGAGACATAAAGTACATTCCCCAGATTCCATTTACTTTTGGGGTTTGCTACCATACACTCAGTGTCTTTTGTAATGTACAGGATATTGTCAGAATACTATCTGTGTCAAACGGTTTCAGCAGTTTAAGTGGGGTTGGATTTTACCATTAGTGAATGTAAATGTTCATTTGAACTTTTGCTGGTAAACTGTACAGCTATTAGTTTCTCTACTATCAAGCATGTAGTCTGCAGTTTCCTTTGTCACTCAGCCTTGTAGGAAATGAATGAATGAATGTGTCTGTGTCCATAACTGTTGGTCCTAAAGGCAGTGAGCATGCCGACATGCCGGCCGAGATGAAGCAGGACGGCCCTAAAGAAGATTCTTCTGTTCCAGAGGCTGCAGAGCCAGATCAGGACTTCAACTTCCCTGAGGTTATGGAACTCACTGCTGAAACCACCACTAATGGTATGTAATGGAAGGCGCTTGACGGTTCACACTTCTCTTCCTGTCTAGAACACACAAGTGATCAGACAGAAGGCTAGAGCAGAGAGAAAGACGTCTTCTTTACTTCACTGTTGACTGACTGGACACTACATACACAGCTGGTTACTCTGCACAGTGACAGCCCTTTAACAGTCTCCTCCTGCTCTCTGGGATTGTCTGTACTAATACAGGTGACTGAATTTACTATAGCTACACTGATAAACTCATTCTATAATCGTGACAAAATCAATATAAATCCAGGTTAATGACAATAGCTATTTGGCTATATTGACATTTAACATGAGGGAACAGAGTTTGAGGTGACTCTAAACCGGAAGTTAACTACTATTTTGATATTGATTGTCTATTATTCTGTTATTACTATTGAAACGAATAATCGATTCCGAATCGCAAAATTACACAATACCTCTCATTCAGCTATCAGCTTTTAAGTGAAAAGAAATCAAGTCCTGTCATGGACCAAACGGGTATACAGTAAGAAAAAAAAATGTGCAGCGCTGTGCCAGCACTCATCTGAACAGCTGATCTGCTGTCTAGTGACTGAGCAGCTTACACGCTGGTACTGCAACACCCCAGGACAAACTGACCCTATATTTATACAAAGAAAGGAATGACGTCATGCATTAAATTTGCCGAATTTACAAGAGGGGACTGATAATAACTATTTTGTAGTAGACAGCGTTTCACAAGGTTTATATAGTTTCCCCTAACTCACAAAACTACATGATTTTTTTTTAAAGGGAGTCTGGGGCGGATTAGTCACCACTTCACGCAGAGGCTGGAGAACTCTTTAGAAAGTAACTAAGACATTTTCCGGTGTGGTCTAATCTTTCACCCTCAGCACAAACACATTGTCCAGCTGTAAACGTTTGTTATTGTAAAGTCAGGGCACATCTGCAATGTGAACGGGGCCGTTGTGGATCATAATTATGTGCTACTCTCAACGCCTTTTAACAGTCATATTGTATCATAAAGTTACATTTCTTATAATGATCCCTTTTATTATCCACTAATAATTTTTTCCTAACACAGAGATCAATGGACTGTTCAGCCGTCTATAACATATATGCGACATGTTTGTTGTGCTTCTGCAGACTCTGGGGTGTGTGAGGGGTTGGTGTTGACCAGCGACTCAGAGAGCGAGATTTTCTGTGACTCTGTGGATTCAGTGGAGCATCTCAGCAACATCAAGGTATGACTCACTCACATCCCACAACAGCTGGACGCAGCACGTGTGGCATTGGCAGTATACAGAGCAAATAAATTTTAGTAAATAATGAAAAGTGCATCACGTTGGAGGATGTGTCGCCAGGTTTTGATTCCCACTGCGACACATCAACAAATGTTTCCCCGAACAAGACACTTAACTCCTAGTTGCTCTAGAGCATCAGCTGAATAAGTAAATGTAATGGAACAGTAATTAATGAAAAGTATAAATAGAGTTTATTTGCAAAACAATTGAAAGATTGATTTGCGTTCACAGATTCCAGTTGTCAAGTCGAATGGTTTTCACAACAGTCACGAGTCCTTGGAGTCATCTCTGGTTCAGAGCCATCAGCTGGAAGGAGGTCTGGAGGTCAGACAGGTCGGAGCGGGTCAAGGTGGAGAGGGGGCGGAGGACGGAAAGGGTCAGGGTCCCATCAGAAGGAGTCGAGACACAGGGCGGGACGGTTCCTCCCAAAACTGGAGAGACCGTAAGTTGCTACACTATGAAAGCCCAGTGTTTAATATTAAAGAGGTGGTATTCTGCTTTTTGCCTTTCCCCCTCTCCTTTATTGAATTATATTTCTTTTTTTTGTGCATGTAACAGGTTTGCAAAGTGGAAAAGCTCAAAGTCCAGCCAGGCTGCGTCGTTAGCCCTTTTTTTTGAAAAGCCCCGGACCTCAGAAGGATTTTTAAAAATCAAACAACAAAAAGCCGAAAATTGAACTTTACAGGCTTAACTGTAAATTGTTTTATTTATTCTCCTGCACATTAGTGGAGAATAAGATGATCCAGCTGTAGCTCTGTGTCTCTCCTCTCTGCTCCACCTGAAGCTGTGAGCTGCACTTTATCAGAGGCACTGAAATTACCTTGTGTGGGTTTGTGGTGAGGTTAATGACCTGATAGGCAGAGGATGTATTATACACCCCCCCTCCCTCCCTTTTCCTAATGTAAAGTTTTATGTCACATTGCCTTCCTGGCTCAGGCGATTTCGGAGCTGGCTCATATAGGAGGCGGTTTACTAAGTGACCAGTCAGTCACTCACAGTCCACATCAGTCGCGGACAAAATGTAGCCTATAGAAATGTTGAAGGAGGAAAAAAGAAGTTGCTGGAGGCCGGTGCAGCAAAGTGCCTCAATATTACAGACTTTTCTTTTGTGCTGCTGTTACTTCTAGCTGAAGGCAGCAGTGATGATGTCTGCAGCAGGGGTGGGTACATCTAATGTAGGCCTACTCTTAATTTCGCTACATTTTCCATTCATACCTTTTATAACTTAACCAGTCTGTAATCTGCATTTTGCTTCATTAACTGAAATGATCTGTGATCCAGGCTGCGTGCGCGCAGTTACGCAGTAAAGCGCTGGTCGGGCACTTGTCACAGAGCTGGGCAGATGCAAACATTTAGAAAATCAGGCAAATATCTTTTTATGTTCTACTAATACAACTGAAATCTAGTGAGCGCACACCACGGCACTGATGGCCTGTTGGAAAGCAGCCTGCGTCGCTCTTTTACGAGCCAGCAAATGAAATACTTTCACTTTCCATTAACGGCGCATTAAAAGCGTCTTTAGTCTCTGCAGAGCAAATGTACGATTCTTTTATTTAATACACATCGGTTCCTATTTGTTTTATAGCGATGTCCGAGGGTGAGTCCAAACAGACTCGCCGGTGAAACTAATCTTTCACTCAGGAGCTACCAGCTGTTATTTATCTTCGAGAGAGAGAGAGAGAGAGAGAGAGAGGCACAGGCAACAAAAGTTGGCTGGACAGCAAAAGTGATATTTTAAAGTGATCTTATCAAAACCTTCATAGAGATTTAAAAAGGAAAATAATTGTAGAAATAGCTAAAGATAATCAGCTTCTTCACTGCATTTGCAGGAATATTTTAATGGGCTACTTAAAAAAATAAACTCATCAAGTTGCCTAGTCTGATGCAATAGACAGTCCATTTTTACTCTGATAGCCTATCTTGACCTTTCCTCATGTGGACACACAGGGGCTGTGAGCCTGCACAGCAAAACACACAAGAATTAAATCCCCACACTACCACGGATAGTAGTGGTGCAACGGGTTGTTCCACACGGTGTGGCACACAGGTGGACCGCGGATTGATTGCAAATGGAAATGTCAGAGAACCCAGTTAGATTCTGAATGTGCAGAACTTTGAACATGAGCAGAAAACCTGCTGAAACACAGGAGCTATTAAAGTCCAAGAGTTTATAACTGAATTAAAATGATTTAATTATTATTTAAAAAGGTGCCACATGCACATTTAAAGAGGTTACCTCAATCAGTCAGGCCTGCGTGTGTGTAGATTCAGCAGTGATGATATTAAAAGTTGATCTACAGGAGAAACATATCTGAAAGCTGAGAGCTGCTCTGCATTATATTCTGTTACAGTTTTAGATTTTAAATTGTTTTTTTATACCTTTTATTAAATCAGAAAAACTATTTTTCCAAGAGTGTCCTGGCCAAGGCAGACAGCAGTACAATTGCACATTTAAGATGGAAATAAATAATCAGTTACAAGGTCTTAAAATATCAAAATGTAAGATATGAAGTTTTAAGTCCTAAAAACACCCCTGGTCCAGCCCAAAGGGAGTTCCCATCTCCCACAGAAAACTCCGCCTGAAAACAGCTCGTTTGTAGTCCAGCTGCTTCCCTTTCATCCCTGTGAGGTCACAGCAAAATGCGCATCATAACGCTCGCCAAGCGGCTACTCCGACACGCTCTCAAAAACACCAGCAGAAAAACAGTGAGCTGCAGCACACCTCTCCTCTCCCTTCCAAACACTAGCTATCCTCCAGGCAGTCAGTGGACATAAAGTTGTTCCTGTGATGTAGAGACAGAGCTCAGTTAAAACTTTATGGATGAAAGATACTTTTGTTACAGATTAATAACTCACCACTCTGAAACTCTTGCTCCAGTCCATGTTGCCAAGCTGTGTTACCAGCTTCTCATCGGCCCGTCCTTCTCTGCTTCTGATTGGCTAGTAGTCCTTAACTAGGAACTGAGCATGTGCAACTCCCAACAAAGATCATTTAGAGACAAGATGTATCACTCCACAGCTAAAACAAAGCCTTCAACACAGGGTGAAAAGAGGAGCTGCAGCAATGTGCAGTATGACAAAAATATAACTGGTACAACCCCTAAGTAAGATTATGAACCTGAAAATGAGCATAATACCACCTCTTTAATGTTTGTATTTATATATTTTATACAATTACTATAGTTACTGACTTTTCTCAAACTTTTTGGACAACAGGTCAAGTCTGACTTTGTGTTGTACTTTACACTGCTGGTACTGTCTGTTACTGTGTTTCTCTGATATGTCAGCGTTCAAATAATGAATTGTTTGCTAGGTGGCGTTCCTCAGGGTAGCCCGAGGCGGGGGGCCCCGGGCGGTGGTGGTGGTGGCGGCGGACGAGCAGGAGGGGACGGTTCAGAGGGTGGAGCTGAGAGGCTGCATGATGTCCAGCTACAGCAGCAGATCATCCTGGCCCTGCGGAGGCTCAGAGAGGACATGAGGAGCGTGATGGACCGGCTGGAGGTGGTGGAGAGGCTCGCTGCCACACATGTAAGGACAGATGTGATAGGTGTTCTTTGTTGACAGCAAAAGTGAGGGATTCTTATTGTTTAATGTTAATCTGATGGTCAATATTCTACTTGAAGCAGAAATTTGTTACGTCATTTGAATTAATCAGCAACCCTCCCATCTTCCTGCAGGTATATTGTGGTCATTTTGTACAATCACATAGTTGGACATAGAGGCTGAAATTCAGTGTTAGTTTACCTTTACAGTTTGAATTGATGTTCGAGTGGTGCAGTGCGGAGGTGAAAAGGGAAATTGAAATTGTCACAAAAGCAAGATGCATGTGTCAAAAGTAGGTTGGGGTTATTCTGTTAGCTATCGTCAACAAATTCCATGCATATATCTAAACCAACATGAGTTAGTCTCTAAACACTTTCTGACATCCTTACCCTTTCAGCTTTTAGCCCATTGCTTCATACTGAAGACATAAATCTTTAAAAACACCTCACAATTATATACTTTATTTTTTAAAAAGGCCCTGTCATTTCCTAAAACAGGTGCTGCTCTACTGCAACAGTTTGTTGTTAATAGTTTTTGGACAGTAGAGCTCGATGGCATGAATATATCAGGCTTTGGATACACACCCAACACGTGTTAGTAGGATACACTCACTGTTAGTTCGGCTGTGCACATGGGATTTGTTGACAAGAGGAAAAATGTAGACTATCAGCCTGCCTTCAGTGCTCTGAAGCTCACTGCTGTTCTGTGTGTGACAGAGCCGGAGTTCAGAGTGGAGACCGTGCCTGCAGTGTGCAGCTGCAGCCTCACAACCACAGGTAAGAGAGGAGCAGCAGCTCACGTCTGCTAGATATTCTGAAAAGTAGTTCATGTTACGAGTTCTTTTCGTTCTGCGGTCTGTCACTACACTGATGGACTAAAATGTAGGTTGTGTATTCACCCTAACTGCTGAATGTCTGTGTGAAAGTTTATTCTGGACTAAGTTAATCATTTAGGCTGCGACGTGCAGTTCAAAGCTCTGGAAACTGCTAGAAAGTGAAAAGTATGGTTAGAATTATCTGTCTAATTTGATACATTTTGAGCGGTTGTCTGACTGTCACAATGCCACACAACATATGGCCTTTATAAGCATGTAAAAGATCTGTTAAAGTAAATGTGTAAAATGAGATGTTTGATTTTCTTCATTTTTCTTTTTTTCTCAGGAGAGGTGGTGGCTGTTCGACGTGTCAGGTCAGACCGTCCTCCTCTTCCTCCTGTGGCCGTTTGTTGCTCAGGGTCTTGTCCACCTGCTAAGGAAAGCCCAGAAGAGAAGTCGCATATCTTCATGAAGTGATCTTAATCCACCAGTGCAAGAAGTTTAATTTCTACAGCAGAGAGGATTGAATGAAATGTGAATTCACGGGAAGGCTTCATCCTCCCTCTCTGTGTGCACTGACAGGAGGGACGATTGTGGACTTGCGTGGAGAGAAATGTTATCTGGCTGTGTGGTACGCCTCAGGATCCGGAAATCCCTCTCACACACTACAGCAAATAAATCTTTATTTAAATTATTCTGGTGGATTAATCAGATGGTTTCTTTTGGGCAGCAGGTCTTTACCAAACCTGGATACATGCTTACACTGATCATGAGAAGCCTGAATGTATGACTCGGATTATATTATAATATTATCCTAATTAGTGAGACATAAAGTACATTCCCCAGATTCCATTTACTTTTGGGGTTTGCTACCATACACTCAGTGTCTTTTGTAATGTACAGGATATTGTCAGAATACTATCTGTGTCAAATGGCACAATGCAGCCAGGCTATCTGCTTTTCATTGGAAGAATTCACTACAGATGTCTTGCTAGTAAGTCATGCAGTTGTAATGTCACTGTCACTCTGAAATCCACTGACGATACTGAAATGTGGAGGAAAGCTCTGTACTGGCTGAGAGGACTCTGTGGCTACATTTGTCACTTTATCGTGATCTTTCAGATCTCATTCTTGACCTCAGATTGTCAGTGTCTCCTCTGACTTCTTTAATAAACCGTCTAATCCGCGCTCTGGTGCTCCATCTCTTAGGCTGCTTGTGTGCTAACTACATTAATTACATCTAGAATACAATTTCTGATCAGTGATATCAGTGTTCACATAATCAGATTGTTTAGTTCCATCTGGAGTCTATTGTGACTCTGGCTGTAATCAGGTGTTGGAGTACACTGATGTGACAAGTGTAATTGAAGCTATTGTCACTAAATGGAAAAACTGCCCTGTAATGTATTATACTAAAGCATGAACTCAAACTAAAACTGTATATTGAATAGAAGGTCGTGTTGGAAGTGGCCTGTGGTTTGACAGCAGTAAACTGGCAGTAACCGCTGATAATGCGGTCGATGGTGGTTAAATGGGCACACACTGAGCTGGGTGTGTTGAGAGCTCTTTGCAGAGGACACAGACTGACAGACCCTATAATTTATAAACTCAATGATGAGTATCTACATACATGTTAGTATTTGATATAAATAAAGTTACATATACATAACAGATAGTTATGTAATATACCTTATATCTGAAAATCTTATGAATGTTTGAAGGCCTAACTTGGCATTATAATGTCATACTTGTACATGGTATGAAATTATAAAATAAGGGAACTGAGTGTCATGAATATCTAGACCAGTGGTTCTCAAAGTGGGGTCCCCAGCAAAATAAAGGAATCATTTATTTTTTTACTGTAATTTTATCCATAAGTAACACAGTGACAGAACATATGACTATTTTGGTCACGGGTTTCATACACTTTCTGTAATAAAACATCTTAAAGCCAAAAACCTGTCAGATGCGCGACCCTGGGACAAACTTGGTCCTTCGTCTAATTTGTGTCAGTTGAGGGGTCCTTGATATGAAAAAGTTTGAAAACCACTGATCTAGACATCCTCTGGATCGCACACTAGGGAAATATCAATGTTACACAGGGGCAGAAATGATTAAGTGAGTAAACTAAAGCTCTTTATTTTATGTTTCAGGACTGCTTATATGCAGTCATGCTGTATAATATAACATCATCTGCTGCCTTTACAATATACACTGCTCAAAAAAATAAAGGGAACACTTAAACAACACAATGTAACTCCAAGTCAGTCACACTCCTGTGAAATCAAACTGGCCACTTAGGAAGCAACACTGATTGACAAGCAGTTTCACATGCTGGTGTGCAAATAGAAAAGACAACAGGTGGAAATTATAGGCAATTAGCAAGACACCCCCAATAAAGGAGTGGTTCTGCAGGTGGTGACCACAGACCACTTCTCAGTTCCTATGCTTCCTGGCTGATGTTTTGGTCACTTTTGAATGCTGGCGGTGCTTTCACTCTAGTGGTAGCGTGAGACGGAGTCTACAACCCACACAAGTGGCTCAGGTAGTGCAGCTCATCCAGGATGGCACATCAATGCGAACTGTGGCAAGAAGGTTTGCTGTGTCCAGAGCACGGAGGCTCTACCAGGAGACAGGCCAGTACATCAGGAGGAGGCCGTAGGAGGGCAACAACCCAGCAGCAGGCCCGCTACCTCCGCCTTTGTGCAAGGAGGAGCAGGAGGAGCACTGCCAGAGCCCTGCAAAATGACCTCCAGCAGGCCACAAATGTGCATGTGTCTGCTCAAACGGTCAGAAACAGACTCCATGAGGGTGGTATGAGGGCCCGACGTCCACAGGTGGGGGTTGTGCTTACAGCCCAACACCGTGCAGGACGTTTGGCATTTGCCAGAGAACACCAAGATTGGCAAATTCGCCACTGGCGCCCTGTGCTCTTCACAGATGAAAGCAGGTTCACACTGAGCACAAGTGACAGACGTGACAGAGTCTGGAGACACCGTGGAGAACGTTCTGCTGCCTGCAACATTCTCCAGCATGACCAGTTTGGCGGTGGGTCAGTAATGGTGAGGGGTGGCATTTCTTTGGGGGGCCGCACAGCCCTCCGTGTGCTCGCCAGAGGTAGCCTGACTGCCATTAGGTACCGAGATGAGATCCTCAGACCCCTTGTGAGACCATATGCTGGTGCGGTTGGCCCTGGGTTCCTCCTAATGCAAGACAATGCTAGACCTCATGTGGCTGGAGTGTGTCAGCAGTTCCTGGAAGAGGAAGGCATTGATGCTATGGACCGGCCCGCCCGTTCCCCAGACCTGAATCCAACTAAGCACATCTGGGACATCATGTCTCGCTCCATCCACCAACGCCACGTTGCACCACAGACTGTCCAGGAGTTGGCGGATGCTTTAGTCCAGGTCTGGGAGGAGATCCCTCAGGAGACCATCCTCCACCTCATCAGGAGCCCAGGCGTTGTAGGGAGGTCATACAGCCACGTGGAGGCCACACACACTACTGAGCCTCATTTTGACTTGTTTTAAGGACATTACATCAAAGTTGGATCGGCCTGTAGTGTGGTTTTCCACTTTGATTTTGAGTGTGACTCCAAATCCAGACCTCCATGGGTTGATAAAATTGATTTCCATTGATAATTTTTGTGTGATTTTGTTGTCAGCACATTCAACTATGTAAAGAAAGGAGTATTTAATGAGATTATTTCATTCAGTCAGATCTAGGATGTGTTATTTTAGTGTGCCCTTTATTTTTTTGAGCAGTGTATTTGGCATAATCAATTTTAAAATCACAGAATTGGACATAAGGCACTTAATGAAATGAGCTACTTAGAGGGTGTTATTTTAAAGTTGAGACAGCTTATATACATAAAGCTGGGGGACTCACAAGAGACCGATGGTCAAAACTGAAGAAGCAGAAGCTGAGACATCCTGACTTGGTGTGTTCTCTACCAGCTGAGCCGCCCACACCCCAAATTTCTCATTTCTAGAAGGGTTTACAATTATGTTAAAAGATTAGTTTCTGTCAGCATGACATGATAAATACAGCCTGAGCAAACAACTCCTATAATTCGTTTTTACTCCTGTTATATCTCATGGAAAGTTTCCACCATAAATATTTCTGGAATTTTGCAACCCTATTATGGAGGCTGTTGGATCTCAGTGGTGAACAGACATTTTACACTTACAATTATGTTACACTGTGATGAGGTTCATGATGTCAGTATTGTGTCAGGTATTCAGATCCTTTACTTAAGTAAAAGTACTAACACCACAGTGTACAAGTACTCTGTTACAAGTAAAAGTCCATTGAAAATAAAAAGAATAATCATGTGTTTATGTGTGTATAATTAGAAAAATATACGTAAATGTACTGAATGCAGAAAAAAAATGTCCCCTTTGATGGTTATATTAAATCTTTACATTATAATCACTATACGCTAATATAAAAGCATTTTGAACTACTTTTGGACTGCGACTAATGATTATTTTCATTAAGGATTCATCTGATTATTTTGGTTTGGTTTGTAAAAGTCACACTTACCCAGAGCCCAAAGTGACACCTTCACAATGCTTGTTGTGATCCACCCAACAGTCCTAACCTCAACATTTTTAAAAATAGAATTTAAATAGAATTTAAAAATACTAAATATAATTCAAAGGAAAAGCAGGAAATCCTCACATTTGTGAAGCTGGAGCCACAAAATGTTTTACATGAAAAACGAGAACAATTCTTTTATAAACGCTTCATGTTTGAAATAAGGGTGGTCTAGGAGTTCCTAATGTTTATTGTTATTATTTAGCATTTATAAGATATCCTTTGTCTTGGGCCTATAAAAATCAATATATAGTCGGTAGCTGGGAATGGCTGGAGGAGAAGGCTAAATTTGAATATAATAAATCAATTTCTATAAAGTCATTATGGTACCATCCCAAATATAAAGTAAAAATAGATAACCCGATTATTGAATTCTCTTGTGAAATAATAAAGGAAGTACATAAACGACTGGGTATTAACGGTGCGTTATTACCTTTAATGTGGTGTAGTAGAAGTAGAAAATGGAATGAGTACCTCAAATTTTTACAGTACTTGAATTAATATAATCTATACTACTGTTACATTTCACCACTGCTATGGGGACTTTTCTTTCTTCACCTTTTCAGTCTCATTACAGCTGGGTTTGTACAAACTGCTGTCAAACCAGTCTGTTTTCAGCTTGGTATGATCATGGTTACACTGTTGGACTTAAATCCACATTTGAATTCAATAAATGCCCATATCTGAAGCAAAACATAAACACAACCCCATTTCCAAAACAAATAATTTAATATATTATGTATAATATTTATATACACAGGTTAACTTAACAAGGCTTTTGTACAACTGTTACAAAATTGGTCCACGCACAGTCACCCACGTACATAAAGTACATGCATAAGGGCACAGACAGAGAGACGGACTGTTCATCCAGATATGATTAAGACAAACACAGAGTCTGGTTGCACGACAGTGGTAGGCAGTACAGTTTGGTTCAGCTCCATTTTGTTTTTTCAGACTTTGCTCAGCAAAACTAAGGATTCTGGAAGGGAGCAAAAATACTGAAAATGGGAAAAGGAAAAATGCAAAAATATCACTCAGGTAAGACTCTGTAGTTTTGGATTTAAGGAGGTTATTCGCTCACAACAAAGCTCTCTTAGAAACACTGACATATAAACTGGAGCCTCACTGTTTAGATTAGGTTCTCTCTCGGCTCCACACAGCTGATATTGTACAATTATCCATATAGAAAAACAGAATTTTGGCATGACTTCACATAGCTGCCTTAAACACTTTGCTCTTCTGACAAAACAGGAGCAGAATCTTCAAAACTCCTCCCCCAACAAACTCACACACACGCACACACACAGGGAAGCACAATAGGCATGTGTTGAACTCTTAATGTTTGCATATTTGTATATGTCACTGACTCCATGCATACACAGAGAGAGTCAGTTGTTTTGCTCCCACAGATCACTGAAGTTCCCTGGAGATCCACAGGAGGCTTTGGAAGAGCTTGTAAAGGGTTGAAAAATAAACTGAAGTGCTTTTTCCTCTGAAATAGTCTACTGTGCTGGCAGGTAAGTGTGCATATGTGATCTTGCCCACATGGGTATTATCAAAGACATCATTGGTGAAAACCGGTCGTGGACAGTCGAAGACACCGGGGCGTCCAGCACACTCACTGTCACTCCAACGACTCTGCTCAAGTGTTTGTTGGTGTAACAGCAGCAGCTGGGCTCTGGAGTTGAGTTTCAAATGTCTAATGTTGCTTCGTCCCTCTTCTACTGATATTTATTATCACCACTGATCGGTTTAAGCAAAACATTATTTTAGAAATATATGCTAAAGTATGTGTAGGATTTGAAAACTTCTTACTTTGGCACCATCTAGTGGTAGCATCGACAATAACAGCGTCAAACATCAGCTGCACCAATTTTTGCAGTTTTTACATTTTTACAAACAACAACTTCATCAGAATATTGGGAATATGTTATAACAGTAGCTTTAACTGTTGTTCATTAGGGTTGAAGGTTTTGTTGTCATTTTAGAAGGATTTCTTCCTTGAAATATATAGTTTGCTGTATTTCTCACCATAAATTAAGTTTGATTTTAAAAGTAGAATTGTGGATACTTGATCACAGTGCAGATCTAGGTGCTAACTCCTTACTGCTGCAGTGACATCTATGGAGTGGCGATGGCGCAGGTGTCGGGAAACCCAGGTTTGATTCCCACTGCAAGTCCCTGAGCAAGACACTTAACCCCTAATTGCCAGAGCCGTGCGACCTCCGACATATACCTACAGCAATTGTAGAAGCGTCGGCTAAATAAGTCAAATTTAATTAGTATCAAAACCTGCGATATCAGCACACAGAACAGTATCCACAAGCTGAAAACTATCCTGGTGAGGACCTGCTCTGCATGCACAAATGCGGCAGTTACACAGTGTGTCACTGATTCATAGACAGTTCCAGATGTAGCCGCTACAAAGATTGTGATAAAAAAAAAGAAGTCAGATTGTAGATGTTAGACTATCACTGTAAACTTGATTAGTTGAGAAGCCCCCTCGCCGGCCCAGGTGTGTGCATCCTGTGTGTCAGGAGGAATTTGTGCTGTACATGTTCAAATGTTTCTGTGTAGATGCTCCAGCAGCTTAGTGAAGAATGATCTGAGCTGTTCAATTAAAATCCCTCTTTTCCTTTACATGTCTCCTGTAATGCTGCAGATCCTCTTATCTCAACTTAGGACATTGCTTCAGCACTCCTCTGCAACACTCAGCTTTTACAACAGTTTTTCTAAACACGTTCCAGTGCAAGATTGTCCATCGTTTAGCCGGTAACCAGTGTATCATAGTTACATGTAGCTGCAAAGGTCCCTTACAGTGTTAGGCAGACACAGCCTTTGATTTTGTACAGGATTTTCCCAGTGAAAAAAACCCCAAATGGAATGATGCCTCCAGCCTCATGCCTTTCCTTTCATCCTGTTAGTTTATCCTGAGCCTAGTTCAAATTGTATCAAGTTAAATTATTTTTCAACAGTATGTTCAACCACATATTCAAGTAATTACAAACTGCACCCCCCAACACCTGCTGATTGATCCTGATTGGTGAAAGAAAAGTATTTTATAATTGAATGTCTTGTATAGTTTACTTGAGGTCATTTGTTTGGTCTCGCATTATTTTTATTCACTTTCAATTAATCTTTGTTTGATTTTGTTCAATTATTATCAAGCAAATCTAATCAATAAAATATTAATATCTTTTTTGTTGGACTTTCTTGTCACTGTTTGCTAAAATAACAATGGTAACCCTTACAGCAAGCTGTTGCAATTGTTAATGACTTGAATATGCGGTTGAACGTACTGTTGATAAATAATTTAACATGTTACAATAGGGACAAAAAAGCTGCTTCTGGAATAGGCTCAGAACAGCATAAAAGAAATATAAGAAAATAAAGCTGGAGGCATCATTCCATTTGTTTGGTTTTTACTGGGCAAGAACCTGTACAAAAGCAAAGGCTGCGTCTGCCTGACACTGTAAAGGTAATTCTTTGCAGCTATGTTTAACTATAATACACTTTATTAATGTTGTCTACCTAGGATCTACCTATCTAGGATCTACCTTCCTCACCGGCCGGGGAGAGGCCTCTCAGCTAATCAACTTTACTGTGATAGTCTAACTTCTACGATCTGGATCAAAAGCTATGTGCTGTTTATTTACAGCCTCTGCCAAATATACATTTAAAAGGAATAACCATTGAGACTACCACAGCTGGATCTGTGTGTGGCCATGACTGGAATTCTTGAAAGCAGGTGTGACGACAGGCGAGACAAGCGTCCCTGCCAGCCAATCAAATGTACGTTAAGTCCCCACCTCCAAAGTCTCAAAACTTAACTTAACTTAACTTGACCAGAGAGCGTAGACTGTGCGAGCGAGCACGTTGAGCAGTTGCAAACATGTATGCAGGGTTGAGCTCTTTAGTTGTAACATCTTCTGGGTTCAGTGTTTCACCGTTTATACACTTAAGTGATCGTACTTCTCTTTGTCGATATGGAGGCATGGCAGTTGTTTCATTCACTTAATCTAAAATATATTTTGCCACGCAGTTGCCAAAATATTTTTATGCTAAATTGTCATATTAGAATTAGAAGTTACTGGAAATCACTCCGGGTGAAAAGTGTATCCAAGTACATTGCTATAAGGGCCCGGTAACATCAGCATTTAAAATGGCAAAAATGTACAAAGTAAATTCAACTGCAATGCGTAACTTTGCACCGCTGACCACTGTTGTAATTTGGTGTTAATAACTATTACATGTAAGTCCTGGCAATTCAATTCAACACAAAAAACGACTATATCATGAGCCATACACAAGGTTCTGGAACGTTAGATGACTTGCAATTAAAGTCATGTTGGGCATTTGTGCGCACAATTAAAAACAAAATCTAACAACTATACAAATATTTGCTTTGTTGATCAACCATTTCACTAGTTTCATTTTTAATTAAGGGAATTGTGATGTTGAGCTGTCAATAATGCTGAAAGTGCAAATAATGCATTTAAGTTGAAGTGCCAATATAATACATTATTAATAATTAAACCGGGCTCCCTGATGCCTAACAGTTAAAGCTACTGCAGTTTATTAGCTGTGTTGCACCATAAACTTCCATTTAGTCTTCTGCAGGAGGAAAATGCTCCACAAAGGACGTATGGTTTTTAGATAGTTAAAAACAATGTGAATTATTGTCCTGTTACTGTTAAGCTAAGTGTCAATTAGCAAACTACAGAAGCTCAAAGAGCTATTGTGACTGAATAGCACTAGTGTGTTACTACTGGGGTGTCCTGGTTGGTTAGGGTGTTAGCAATTTCACAAGGATGTGATTTCTCATGGATGAACTTCACTGTGCCACTTTCTGGTGTTACTGTGCCTTGATAATGGCAGTTCAAGGTCTGACTACATCTACAACACGTGTGGAAGCGCAGTATGTTAAAACGCAAGCTAAAATTCACAGATTCCCACTGGTAACCTGATTTGATCTTGGCAAGAATTTCTAGGAAATACCAGTCTCTCGATTCCCTACTATCCAAAAGTTTTTTGCACAATATATAAGGGCATTGATAATTATATCGACAATTATTTTGTAAGTAAATAGGAACAGATTAATAGTTCAAAAGTAGCTGAAAAGTAGAATTTGTATATTTTTTTCAGAGAGAGTTGTTTTTCAATTGGTGGTTATCTCATTTTGGAATGGAACTCTACAACTGCACACAATGTCCAAGAAGTCCTTTTCCATGAGAAAACGTCTCCAAATTTAGTGCCAATAAAAAGCCAAGAGGGAGGAGTCTTGAGACAACTGAGATGCCTAAAGCAATTTGACAGAGACTTGGCTTTAGAAGCCGCGACACAGGTTATCTAGTGTTTGTAAGTAAAGGGCAAGTACTTGGTACTGCATTAGTGATCGAAACAATTAGATTAAACTACTACTGTGTGGCGACGCCACGCTCTTGTTTTGTCACGTGGGACCAGGGCTGATCTCCTTAGGACCACAGAGGAAGATCCTGGGGAGTTTTGATCTACACATCCAGAGGGTGAGGAGGAGAGATGGGGGGCCTCCTGTGCAAGGCGAGGAAGAGGTTCTATTTGCTGTCTCGACCTGGGACCTACCTTTGATCCCTGAGGAACCTCAACACATCCATGTGGACCTGATGTTGCCTCATAGACTCTGATCACCTCCACCCTCTCTGCTCTCCATTCTCTGACTTTGTCCTCACTCCTGCCCAGCTCAGAGTCCAGATTTATGGACATAGCTCTCGTCCTCACACCTCTGGTCTTCCTGGAGCGGACCGGTGCTGACTTGTTCCAGTCGGGCTGCTGGGTCCCGTGAAAGCTGGAAGCCTGATAGAGGTTGGGAAGCCTGGTGGGGCGGATCCAGAAAGGGACTGTGGGGTGACCTTTGGCCAGATTGTGGGGCCTCAAATGGGAAGGCTGATTAGTCACAGGTCTTGGGTATGTGGCATGGTAAAGTTGCTGTGCATTTCCCAGCAAGGCTGTTCTCTGCCTGCTCTCCCTTTCGATTTTTTTTGCCGCATCGTTTGTTCCGTTTCCAATATCATTTTCAGTCTCTCCCACCAATGAATCTTTTTCCACTGTGATCTCTCCAGCTTTGATCCCATTTTCCTTTTCAGAAATGGCGTGTTCTCCCTTGACTACCTCTTCCTCTTCTCTATCCTCTTCCTCCTCCCCTTCACCTCCTTTTCCTCCCCCGTAGTTGCTGGCTTTGACTGGCTCATGCTCAGAGTCCTCGTCAGCGCTGCTGCCCTGCAGGTGGGTACTGAGGCATTTTTTACGTTTGCGGGTCACAGCAGATATGATGGACAAGGGCAGAAAGTCCCTGGCAATCAGGTCTTTCTTGGAGCCCAAGGAAACCTGAAAGGTTCAAATTCTAGTCAAATAACTGTCACATTCATATTCCATTATCCTATTCCCAGAATTAAAGTACAAGTAAGATGTCTTGCTTACCTTTGACTTAAGTGAATCACTGATGGTGGAATCTACTAGAGAGGAATAAGATGTGGATTAGAATCATGTCATCACTGGACAAGCAGCAGATGAGTTAGGAGTGGTACAAAGGTGTGATATCAGGCAGTACTTTTCAGATGAACTCTAGCCATTATCTGAGGATTCGTCTTTAAAAATCAAGCAAACAACTGCAGTTTTCTCTGCGTTTAATTTAAGTACCAAAAATGGCTATAGTTCACCTTTAATATCAGCAAGACAGAGGGATGGTAGTGCATTGGTGGGAAACCAAGACTGATGGAAAGAAAATGAATGGGCAAATAAACACAAGTCAATAGAAACACCAAACATAAACACACAAGGAGGAAGACCTGGTCCTACCGAAGAGGCTGATCCACTGTCTCAGCTGAGAAAAATTGCAGAAAGGATGGGAAAAAAAGAGAAATTGAAATAAAGTAGGAAACATCATGAGTAAACACAGGCAGAAACATAACAGCTGGAGAAGTACAGTGATCTACGTGGGAAGGAAGGGAAGGAAAGACACTGAGCCAGGTTTCACTTGATAAGGCCACCAACTGGTGGCTTTAGAAATACAGAATTTGGAGGATAGATTTAGAAACATTAAACATTAAGGCTTTGATTAGCATTAGTCATCATCATGAAAAGCTCTTTTCTCTGAGCTGTGTGCTGTGTTCTTTCGGGGTGAATGCAAAATAGCAAGATTGTGCTTTCAGTCATGTCATACTGAACTACCCTACTCAAGCAGATAACAGATTTCCTGTAAGACCCAGAAAGAAAGGTTAATCTAGCTTTCTAAATGGGTCCATATGCATAGCATCTAAAATGGGAATATTTGGTGGCTTTCTTAGTCGCGCGATTAGGGTTTGGACTGTTGGTCGGACAATCAAGATATTTAAATATATCTTATAACATTGACTGTGGAAGATTGAGAAATGTGAATGTGAATATTTTCTGACATTAAACTGACTAAACAATTAATTACTTAATTGAGAAAGTAATCATTATATTAATTCATAGTTTTCACGTGACGTCACATTCCAAGGAAAACGTTATTTTCCGCTGCCTGCCAACCAATAAGCAAGTGATACACTGTCAGTTTGAGTTGCTGGATGGTTGTTGTGCTTTCGGAAGCACCAATCGAGGAGAAGACAAGCCTGGGCTGTGTTAGGTGAGGGATTTCCCACACGGTGAAGGTAAACATACCACAGTTGAACAATGGCAGGGACCTTGCGATTTTTAACGGTAAAAGTGACAGTAACATTATATGGATCAGATATGCCCAACACTTGCAGTTTGTGTTCATATCTTTCTTTTTCTTAAGTTAAAAGGTGATCCAAATAAAATCTGACTGCTTTTGCTGCGTCTCTACGGTGTGAGCTACTATGTTGGTCTGTTGTTTTGCCCTCCAGGTCACCGCGCATGTCATGTGACTGAAAACTATGAATCGCCAATTTCTGTCCCAGAGGGCCACATATCATATGGACAACTCTCGCGATGGTTTGTATACACCTTTTGGAACATTGTTTTTATTTTTTCTGGCCCTTCTCCTGTACACTCTCTGCCCACCCTGGAGTGGCTTGAACTTTATGATTTTTTAAACTGTTTTGTTACCTGCTTGATTTATGTTTGGGAACATCAAGAGACGTTTCTCAGAGGGGGGGTACTGTCACGTGTGTTATTATTTTGGCCATCTGCTCTATGTTTGGTCCCAGTTTCAGTGTTTTCCCAGTCATGTTTGGATTCTGTTTGTGTTAGTTATTTATATATTAGTTATTTAGTCTTTTTAGTCTATTCTGTGTTTTGGGGTTTCAGTCCTGTTTGTCTCTTGTCTTGTGTTCTGTCTGCCTGTTTCCTGTCCTGTTTAGTCTTGTCTGGTGTTGGTTTGAGCCCTGTGTCCTGTCTGTCTGTATGCCCTATCTGTGTCAGCTGTGCTTCACTCTGCCTGCCTGTATGTGTGTTCCCAGTCTTGATTGTGTTCTACCTGTTGGCGCTCCTGCCCTCCCAGTGTATGAATGTTTGTCATTCTTGTTCTGTCTTTGCTGGTCCATTGTAGTGAGTTGTCTTATGTCTTGTGTCTTGTCGTGCCGTGTCCTTCTTTTCCCGCCTGTTTTGTAGATATGGATTTTTGCCTTCTGGATTTAGTTTTACAGACAGTACCTTTTTTTGGTTGGTTTTGTTTGTTTTCTGCTACTCCTTGTAAGTGTGTGAGCTTCAAGTTTGATCTTAAATCTTAAGAACTGTATCTGCTAAGCTCTGTGTCTTGCATTTGGGTCCTCAACACACAACCCACTCTGACAGACAACATCCTAAAAGACATACTGCATTAAAGCAAACCAGTTACAAGAAAAGCCGTTTTTTGTATAAAACTTTAGTGCACCCTCATCATAACTGGACAAGCAGACAAGCAAACCTTTATTGTATTATCCTAAAGAACACAAATACATGAACTGCTATCAGTCAATACGACAGATAACTAAGGTTCCTCTCATTATGAACATGTATCTCTATGACAGTGTCACAAATTAGAATGTGACTTCAATGTTGGATTAAAACTCTTCCTCACCTGATGCCTCTCCAGGCATGCCCGGCCTGCCGATGTTGGACAGCAGATGGTCAATGTTGGGCACAGGCTGCATGTCCCGCTTATCCTCTGGGGCCTATACTCACACACATCCAGAAATACACCACCACACCCAAAATAAAAGTACAAATGAGGACATTAGTAGAAGATCAGTACAAACTATCCCTGCATTCATGACATTCACATTCTTGCACTAACAAAGCCACTGCTGCGATCTAACATACCTTATCTTCCTTATCGAGCTCTCCATTACTGAAGAACCAGTCATGCTGTTGAAGTATTAAAACACAGCGTCATTGGATGATGTTAAGACAACAAACATAATTAACTTGTAAAGAATGGTGCAATATTTCTTGCATCGGAGGGAGCAACTGTTCGCTCTTACGTGCAGGATAAGTGTCTCCACTATTTTGTAACGGTCAGGCATGTGGGTGACCATGTCGGTCATATTGTCCTCTGAAGTCCTCACCAGAGTGGGACCAAACACCAGAGCCAGGTTTCTAGGCTCCATCTGGAAATAATATTAAAGTTATGTTGGCTCTATTAATGACCACAGTTTGTCCAAACACAAAAGCCTAACTGCTCATTAGAGGGGGTCAGGTTACCTTATTCCTTTCAGAGTGATCTGCCACCCTCTTGAGGTGGCCCACCAGAAACTTAAGAGTATGATAATAGTGATCTGGGAGGTCATGGATCTGGGTAAAGAAGGATGGGAGGCAAAAAATAGGAGTACAACAGAAGAAGATACAAGGGTAGATTAGATTTTAAAGTGAAGTAAAGAGAATCTATGACAAACATATTCATTGCTCTATATTCTACTGTCCTCAGACACATACCAGTTTCTTCATGGTCTTCAGTCTGTCCTCTGCATCCTCTATCCGGTTGGCATCAATAAAATCATTGTATTTGTCTGCAGACAGATAAGGTATATGACTAAATTATACAATGAATGGGCTACATTTCAAAAAGTGAAATACTCCAGCGTTAAGTCATTTCCACCTGCAAACAACAGGCGGTTTTATTGTATCCAAACTGAGAAAAAGTTCCAGTGCCAGTCCTAATTTTACATCATACACTATACACGTTCAATATGATTCCTGCTACATTTCACAATTACTAAATGACTGGACCCACCATCAGTAAACAGTGGCTCGGGCAGTTTTCGGAAGAAGGATTTAAGCAGACTGCTGATCACATTCAGGTCTTGCCATCTCTGTGGAGACATCATAAAAGCATTAAAAATATAAAACATCTAAATTATTCTTGGTAAAACAATTCTCTTAGCTATGACTCCTTAGCTAAGACTTTTATTACCAAACAAGTTATAAATGTGTTTCTTTCTGTGTGACCTGTGCCATGTATCCTGCTCACCTCCTCAGCAGTGTTGATGTCCATGCCCTTGTTGAGATGCTCTTGTAGGTTAGACACCATGGCATTGTTCCCCGGCACCCGGTAGATACCGGTGTACTCTAACCCCGTCGCCTCCACCACATCAAGGCACATCTCCACAATCAGAGGGACAAACTGTGAAGAGATGGAGGCAGAGAGGCAGACACAGAGAAAAAAGAAGGGGAATTGATGGAAAACAGAAAGAGGGAAGTGAGCGTGGTGAAAGAGCAACAAAAGGTTTTGGAAGGAAATAAAATAAGAAAAAGAGGCAAAGACAAAGTAGTAAATAACTGTGTGTGACACTTTCCAAATTTTGTTGACATACATCACAGAGACATGCAGACAGTGATTATGAAGTGATGATTTGCACAAATTCAGACAGTGCTCCCCTATTAATCTAACAAAATGTTTAAATCAATACAGTTACAATTAGGGGTGTGACGAGATCTTGCGAGATTAAAACGACGATTTCTCTCATCAGGAGATAAAGTGTCTCCTGAGACTGACACTTTTCACACGTTGTCTCGCCACACATCAATTTTCTCATACAGTGAAAACAAATGTATAACTGATAACGTCGATTCGCTTTGAGAATCATCTCCACCCAGCTGATGCGACACCGGTGTATGCCGTGTTAGTAATCAAGTGAACCCACCTCTCACACTGTGAGTCGCAGGCCGTTTGTGATGAATTGTGTCGGAACTGGTATATTTACAATACAACAACAAACTGAGGCGAAAACTTTCTCCGTTTGGGACTGTGAGCTGCTGAAGTTAATAAGAGTGTGATTTATGGTGAGATTTCTGCCAGAATGCAGGATGAAATGTTCACACAATTATTTTTTATTATTAATTCATCCTAGGATTGGGTGATGTGACAATATATGCTGTTAGAGGCTGGTCAGCTGGTTAGTTCTACTTGTAATAACGTGAAAAATAATAATAAGTTAGTTATTAAAGCAGTCCTGTTTATTGACTATGTTATAGCTATTTTTCATTTACAAGATTTGATCATCAGTTTGATGAAGAAGGTATTTAATTCACAATTCCACCGTGGGTATTTTTAGATATAAATTGATTCTTGACTAAGTTTTCAGAAAATGTACAATACATTCTACATTGAATATTTCTAAAGTAACCACACCAATGTGGTTAGTGTTATCATTGTGTTGATCACAAATGACATGAGTTCACGCTATGAATCATGCTGTTGGTGTGTTGTTCATTTTTGGCCTCATCATAAAACGCTGAAGGCTTACTTTATGGTTGACAGCAGGCTGACAGTCCTCCAGTCGCACACCAAAAGCCTTCGGACTGCCTGTCTTCTTGGCCTTCTTCATGATGTTGATTCCCCACAGCGCCTTGTTGTCATCTGAGTGCACACACACACACACACACACACACACACTTACACATTTAAATATCGCTAACTGGCCAATATTATAATTTTACTAGCAAAAAGTCTGTGGCCACACTAGCAGCTTTATAGGTCACCTGAAGAAAACACAGGGGTTTGGGGATATTGGTTTTGCTTTTCAGATGTAATGACATGCAAGTTTGACAGATGCCTTGTGTATAAAGCAAAGAAAACATTCTGACCACAAATAGCTAAAAAGGAAAATAAATTATATATATTAACCTATACTTCACATAGGTTCACCGATTGAATTGTTGTAGTTCACAACAATCCAGTGCCCTCATAACTAAACTGAACTATGTATACTCCCCCAAAAATAAAATAAAAATAGTGGAAGGCTCTGAGGCCCCTCTCACCCCTTACAAAAGATACAAAACGGTTTAGTCCGTCCCGCACTAGGATTCTCTATTAATGGGCTAATCGAGTCGACTGACTGCTGATGCTGGAGCATCAATGCTTGTGACAGTCATGTCTGTTTCCAAGAAAGGGGAATCCAGTTACCAAAAAAGAAAAGAAGGAAACAAAAGAGAAAGAAAGCAGCGAAGTAAAACAACTGCTTACTAATGTCTAATGAAAGGTGAGCACAATCACAACTAACACAGTTTTAGAATGGTTGAAGCTAATATCATCAATGTTATCAAGAATCTAGCTGGATGCATATTTGCATTGCAGGTTAGAACATAAATTATTATCACCTTCATAAATTAAACTTCCTAAAGTTTTAATTATTTTGCTTTTAGGCCAACATGTCTTTAAGCCACTAACTTAAACTGTGGGCTGGGACACAAAGGACAGATTAAATTTTCTGGCTGTATGTACTGTATGTGTGTATGTAAAGATTATTTTTGTCTTCTTTTTGACTATAGTGAAGGTTTTTTTCAGTTGTCTTTTATTAAGCAGTATAGTAAGCAAGTGTTGGACAACTAAGATGGTATTTTTTAGCTTTGTCTTATACTTTGGGAATGATAAATGCATAAACAAACATAAGGAAAATAAGGTTCTCCTCAGCATTGTACTTAAAGCAAACCTAATTTAACCATAGTAAAGTAACTGTAGGATGCAGTATATTGAGGAAATAGGGCTGAAATGTGGTGAGATTTCAAACTGACTTAAGCTCAAATTAGATTATTATGACTTGTTTAAATATATTATGAATGGTTCAGTGACTGCCCTTATCAGCACTACAGTTTAATGTGTACAGCTGTTATCTCAATTATTTGAATTTGAATTTTTTATTTTCAAAAGATGCAAGAGGCAGGATCCAAGAGAGGAAGGGGGCCCACAGAGCCTGTTTATGTATAGGGCCCAGAATTATATGCAAATAATGACAAATGCTTTGAAAGTAAATATAAACTATTTTGGCCACTCCTAAGTCTACATCTGCATATACTATATAAATATACATTTCCTTGTTTTGTTTTTTCGCTATACACAAAGCACTTAACATTGACGGGGATGTCACTTTAACAACAAAGAGAAATTCTGACCTCATGGTGGCGCTAGAGGAAAAGTAAGTAAGTAATCACCAAAGTTTGTAGGCTTCATCCTGACCATCCTTCTAATCGTTGTTGAGATGTAATATACCAAATGATGCCGCAAACACTGTCTTTGCAGCTTTTAACCTGCAGTTAGCATTTTGTTGCTACAATCATGTTGGTACCCACCAGTTCTGGAGGCTCGGTTCACTGAGGTGTTGTCAGTCTTAGCCAGGAGGAAGGGGGGCATCATACGATGGGCTCTGGGAGAGGAGTCTGGCTTATTACCTGTCAGACTGCACAATGAAAATGAATTATGCTGTGTTATTTTGATGGGGTTTTATGAATTTCAGTAAACAAGAGGGTCTTTCAGGTCTTAATACCTTTATGAAAATATAATGATAACCTCAGTTTTATGTAATGCCTGGATATTCTTGGATTTTTGACACTATATAATATACCAAATATAATCCACCGTTCTGACCTCTGTTTTCTGTAGTCATTCAGCTTCTTGTTGATGAGAGCTTGTCTTGAGAAACCAATCTCCTAGAGCAAATGGAGATTACAAATTACAAAAAATTTGGTCTGTGTAAATTCCTTTAAATTTACCTGGATATGAAGATCTTACCTCGTTGTCAGTCTTGCTGTTCTCCCTGATGACCCTGATCCAGGCCAGCATGTCATCCCTGTCCTCGGCCTGCAGAAGGTACTCGCAGAAGTCCTGCGTGGTCAGCCTCAGGGTGTGCTTCCGCTTGGTTTCACTGTAAGCGATGTCGATCAGGCAGCCGCGGATGCTAATTGGAGGATGTTCGTCCTGGCTGGGCCCCGTCCCGTGAAGGATGGCTTCTCGTTTGTCTTTGTAGAGGAAGAGTGAATGGGACCGGAGCACAGAGAAAACACGCTTCCACGGTCGCATACCACCACCTACTTTCTACAATGAGTAAAGACAGAAACAAGAAAACGTCAATTGTCCCATCATTGCTCAGTAACTGTTCACATGACAAAGCAGTATGTATGGAGAAATACTCTGTGTCTGAAATACTTTACGAGTATGAGAGTCAAGCTAATCTAAGTCAGACCTATGGCTAGTCCAAAACCCAGCCTACTCCTGGCTAATAACAGGAAAGAGTTGACTGTCAAAGAGTTCATTTTTGGAGTATACTGTTGGTTTATAAATCACTTCATGGCCAAAATAAATTTCTGATCTGCTGCTCCATCATGAACCCTCCAGACCTCTCAGATCACCTGGGACAGGTCTGCTTACTGTCCCCAGAGTCAAACCTAAACATAGAGGGGAAGCAGCATTCAGTTTTTATGCACCCGTATGTATACGGAACAAGCTCCCAGAAAACCTCCGGTATTTTTTTTGTATCTTGCATTGCCTTGTAAATGCACTGAACTTTTTATTTTCCTGTTTTATCAGCTGTATTTTACTTTAGCTTTAAGGTTTAATAACATCTTGCCGAAGGACTGCAGTTGAAAATTAGCCAGTAGGCTAAAACTGGCACTTTTACAGTAATGTTGATTATTGTGTTCTTTCCTTATAAATAAATAAATAGAAATAGCTTATTATCTTCTATTTTATTTTACTATTTTAAATTCTATTTTAATGTGTCTTGTTATATTGTCTTTTCATATTGCCTTGTGATTCTTTTCTTAATTTCGTTTATGTCTAATGACTTGAATTTGCCTTGTTGTTGAAAGGTGCTATACAAGTAAATGTGCCTGGCCTGTAATAATGTACTGCTAAATACGTAGCTCTACCTTGCAATACAAGAACAATGCTGCTGTTCTATTTTGTCTTTTACATGGATCATCAACTGGAGAGGGTGATGACTGTTTGCCTGGGACATGTAAACATTAGCTTTTTTAAATAACAATATGTATGTAGCCATCAAATGTTTATATGTATTTAATGTTTATAATATAGTTAGGACCATTTTTTAATTAATTATTTTACTAACGTAAGCTAATTGGTGGGTAGCAATGAGAAAACAGCTTTTTTCTACTTCTGTGTCAAGACCTGTTTAAAAAACTGAATGATTTTCAAGAGGTAAATCTGCCACTACTTTGACTGTAATGTGCGTATGTAATGTCAGTTAGTTTGCAGTGTGTACAAGCAGTGTGTTGTACCTTTCCCTTCTCTGTGAGGATCTGTTTGTAGTGCAGCCAGCCCTCCTTGCGAACATCACTTACGGTGATGGACAGTTCAGAGATGGAGTGGCGCTTGGACCGGGCCTCCTCCTGGGCTCGCAGGCTCTCCAGAGACTGAAACACAATTTAGGAGTATTATGAGTTGCACGCTGGGCAGTGTTTGCTTGGTTGCTGGAATATGAATAAACAAGGAATAGAAAGTACATGTACATGTAGTACATGTACTTTCATTTGTATGTAAGACTCACCCCATCGATGAAAAAGCTCTTGACTCTTTTTGGTAGTTTGCTGTGGAACAGAAAGCACACAACTCATTAGTGAGTGACTAAATGACTTGAGGAGAGAGAGAGAGAAAAAAAAACATAAAAGTTATAACAACAAACATAAATCAAAAAGTGAAAATTCCATAAAGTGTAGACTGAGACTGTACTAATAACTTCATTATTGTCAATTGCCCTAAAACTTTAATATGCAGCTGTCATTGAACCTGTGCCTATGCTCAAACCTTTAAATGATTTTTGTCATTGTAGGTTTGGGGTACATAGTGTATAGGCTTACAAACAAACTCATTTCTAGGACTATATACACCCATTTTAGTAAAGAATGCAGCTTTTAAAGTGTCCCCAGAGTTCCTGACTTACGAGAAGACACGACCTTCTTCCCTGAAGGTGTTGAGACCCTCGTCACAGGACTTGGATCTCTCGGTGGTGATGGCCAACAGGTAAGAGGAGCGGCGACCTTTAATACTGCCTGAAGACCGGAAAAGTGTGAAATGACAAGAAGATGAGTAATTTGTGGTTTCAAACTGTGCATGATCAATATGACATTAGCAATGGCATTATCTTCCCTTTATCTTTATTCAAGAGCGTGGTCTTTCAATTAGATTTTCAGATGTTGTAATGCTTCCCCTCTAAACCCTGCCCTCGCTTAGATTTGCTCTGCCTCTGCTCAAACTGCGTGCTTGCACCCAGACTTTGGCTGTGACTGAGTCTCCTCCAGCACCCTGGCGTCAGGCCGGTGTGCTATATGGCTACTATTATCCAGTAGGTAGCTATTATAGTAAAAAGTACAGACACTGGTACTGTAGATTTAATAACTTTTTATTTCAAAAATTGTAAAGAAAGCAAAGGCAGCATATAATAAAGCTGTGGAGGGGGTTAAAGAGTAATTGCCTGTACGAGATGCTCTAAGAAGTAGAGTGAACCTGCCCACAGAGAGGCAGGAATTATTTTATTGATCAACACTACACATGGATTCTACTGTTGAGGGATTTTGTCAGGGTTATTCCACAAAAAAATCAGAGAGCAGAGCACAAATCTGAGAGCAGATGTTTCACGAGTGCACAGAAACAGCCTGAGCGCAAGAAGGGCTGAAGCTGGAGGCAGGAAATCTGTGCAAGCATCAACATATCAGAGTACAAGCATACAGTTTGAGCAGAAGCAGAGCAAATCTAAGCACAAGCAGGGGCTGTTTGAGTGCGAGGGCAGCCTTGAGAGGGAAAGCTTTACCTGAACGTGAAATAAAAAAGACTACGCTCTTGAATAAAGACAGGATAATAATCCCATGTTAAGCCAGATGGATGAATTAAGGGGTTAAATATACATACTGAATATTAAAGGAATACCTGGACATTTAGGTTTTTAGTTTCTGGTTCTGGATACATTTTAGCCTACGATGCTAACAAAATGCAGTTTCTCTTTGTTATCAAGAGTTTTAAATGACCTTATTTCCCAATGTAGAAAGCACACAGTGAACAAACACCCTAACTTAGAAACTGATTTTATTGATGTCTCAGTGTTGTTATACTCACTATGAGAAGAATTTTTATGATTATAGCGTTTTACAAATTATTTTGATAGCATACAACAAGAGTCCTCTATGAACTACAGAGAGTTTCAGAGACAAACATCCAATCATCGAGCTTCAAATTATTTTTCATTCAAAAGCTAAAGATTGAAATTTGCTGAAACGTAATAATACAATCACTACAAGTCATTGTAGTTCCTCCTGCTCTTCCCCTCTCTCTTTAGATACCAATAGGGAGCACCAAGGTCAGAAATCTATCAATTCTACACTGTGACTTTGAGCACTTCCTTTTGAAACGATGAATTCTACGGATAAAAGTGGGGAATTCTTCAGTTGTAAATGTCACAGTACTCCTTTAAGATGACCTGCGGCTAAGGCTACACAAATATACCAGTGTGTCAAAATAAAGACATTACATTACTGCTTGTCATTTTGACTCAAAAGCATTGGCAATGTCAAAACATACTGGAGAACACACTGTATATTGGTCTAACCCTTTGTGAAGTCTTTCAGAATTTATAGTGGGTGAGTGAGACTCACTGCAGTCCTGAGAACGAAGTCGGACAAAGGGGGAGATGGAGGACAAGGTGAGGGACACAGAGGTGGAAGTGGGGGTGGCCATAGTAGAGCCATGGGAACTGGACACCACAGAGCAGGCTGGTACATAGAAGGCCTGTATATCAGTGCTAGGACTGGCAGGTTCATCTGCAAGGTCGTCATCACAGGTGAGCAACAAGGGACGAGAAAGTATTAAACACACAGACAGGACAAGACAAGCTAAGAGTCTCCTCAGGTGGTGTTTGGAATGTTAGAACATCTCTCTGAGGTGGATCTGGTCTGGAGGCAGAAATAAACTTAGGTGAGATTAAGATTAACTGATAAATCTAAATGGCAAATGTGAGAATTCTTTTTAACTGCGGTGCTACGTAAATTTTACTGTACAACACGCGCTGTGGCCAAGAGTGGCACTAACAAAATAATGGAATTGAATTTTACTAAATTTTCCAAGAATCTCTCTAGTCGGCTGAAAGACACAATCATTAAGCCACCTGGCTGAGAGCGAGAGTGAAGCAGGACAGCAAGCAGGAAACAACAAACGTGTCTCTGCTGAGGTGTGTTCCTGTTTTTTTACTTTCTGTGATCTGTGTTGTCCTAAAATACAGTGTACAGCTACTGTATGTTCAGGTCATATTGTATAGACTGTATTACAAGTAGCTGCGTGTGAAAGTTTACAGTAAATACAGTCAATTGTAGCGGTTAAAAAGTAGCTAGCTATAGCATCATGTTGATACTTTCTGTTTTCACTCGTTAGCTTGTGTGGTGTGACTTCAACGGTTGCAGTGTGGGTAACCAGCTTGGAATAAGAATAATGGGAAGCTTTCTTCTCATTGTACTAACATGGTGTGCATGCAGCGTAACAGTGGCAAGAATAGAGAAGAGTTATAAAGTCAGTGAACTGACTCAATGTCAGTTGCACAGCAATGTAAGATAATTTTATCATCATAGTAAGCTATGTAGCAGCAAAACCACTGTGTACTCTTTCAAAACTTTCTTGCTTTGAGTTTAAAATGATCATCATACCCAGATATTATGGAGTTTGAACTTGGAAGGTAAGCTAGGCCACATTGACAGCAGTATCAGCTAGACTTTTGTTTGTAGCAACAGTTCTTCTAACATACTCCTTACCCATTTCACTAAGCCACTGTCCACAGTTATGTCCTCAGTATGTTTTGGCCTGTTGACTGAACCTGTAAGATTATTTCTGACTCCAGAACAGCTCTGTTTCTGAGAAATGTTTGCAGAACTAAACTGCTGTTGATTATTTCCAATTTACAAACACTGGACATGTAAAGATACAAAAGCATTTTAGAACATTTAACATTCAGTATTCATGAACTCAGAATACTAAATGTATTGAGGGTATAAGCATTATGTTGACGATGTATACGACACACAGACAGGTATAAACACACACAAAAATGTTGAAAAGGGTAGAAACACACAGGAAGAAAAAGTGAACTACCGAAGCCCACAGAGTTTAAGTGGAATACTGAAGAGCTCTGTAGCAACAGACAACATAATTGTTCAAAATATGCAAAAATGTGCCTGTTAATGACATGGTAAAAGGAAGTGTAGTAATTTATACTGTGTTAGCGTAGTGCAATCTCATCTTCAGAAAGATGTATTTGAATTTTACTCCACTTAACACAACCAATTATAACTGCTGAGCAGCAGTGAGTCAGGGGCCAGGCATTTTCAGGAAGAACAAGAAGGAGGAAGAGGAGGAAGACAAATGAGAAATACAAGAGGGTCCGTCAGCAGAACTGCCCAGACCACGACCAAAACGTCTCAAATTAAAAATATATTTAAAATCATGTGTCTCTTATCCACACAACACACTGCATGACCAATGTGTACCCTGCATTACCCAGGGCTCAAAGTCACAACCTCGGACAACAAGGGCAAGTATGCATTGTGTGTGAGTCTGAACATTAGTCTCCATCTGATTGTGTGTGTGTCAATGGGTGAATGTGACATGTTGTGTAAAGCGCTTTCAGAAGACTAGAAAGGCTCAATATAAGTACAATTGATTTACAATTTGTGTACTTCTGTAATTTATCTTTGCAAAGACTGATTGCTCAATAAACGACAAACTGATGTTTAAAGATTCTCTATTTCCATACACTGCAATAGTTTACATAAGGATAGAACAATTATGTTTTTGAAATTTACACTACATGACATTTTTGACATTAGCAGTAACTGTTTACAGTACTGTTCGTCGTAATACAACGTGATGCACTGTGGGCTAAATTTTTGATAAATCAAAAATCTGTCTGGGTCATTTGTGAAGGACAGTCTGAAAATGCAGTGTAGCACATTTGGAGTCGATTGAGGAATGTGGGAGGAGATAGGTTTAATTAGTTTTACGTTGCTACAACGGGGACCTGTCAATCAGGATAGAAGAAAATTGTATCCAATGCGCTGTGAACTTGTTTTTGGGTGAGTTTCAGTGTTTTTGAGTGTGTTTTCAGTTCATGAAAGTTAACTGTAACATTTTGGTCACTTAAAAATGTCTTGTTCAGTGTTCAGCTGTACTAAAAGACACTCTAAGGACTCAGCTGTTAATTTTTCAGGTAAAGACATTTAGTTTTAACCCTGTTTTTTTGCTAGCCAAAATTAGCATCCCAATTAAAATCTGAGTGATAACAATAGGGTCCCAGCCACGCTACCTTGCATACGTGGCCCCCAGCCCACTCGGGCTTGGATCCCTAATAACATGACAGCTACATTGAGTCAGTTGCTACAGAGAAAAGGTCACTAACCAATGAAGGGAATAGAGGACAGGGAGTTGAATGCATGCTGTGCCAGGCTACCATTAGCCCTACGGCTGGAGCCAGGCCCCCCAGAGACAGGTGAAGGGGTCCCTGTTGGAGGTGTCAAACCAGGGGACTCAGTTGACTCCACAGGTGTGGTGTAGTGGGCCTGTGCAGGGGTTCGGCGGCTGGAAGGCGGCTTCTGCCTCAGGACCACCTCTTGATGCAGTGAGATGGGGGAGATGACCTCCCTGTCCTCACCAAGTCGGGCTCTTTCCTCCTCTGACGCAGAGAGAGCAGGGGTAGACTGCGGCCTGGGTGTCATCCCACCCTCGCTGTCCGCAGGGCTGCTTCTGCTGTTTGGGCTCCAGTTGAGGTGAGGGCCCCTATAGCTGGGCTCTCTGAAGGAATGAGCCTGCTGGAGAAGGTGGCCAGCTTTGCAGGAGAAAGAGGGGCTGTAGCTTTTGTCGCCCACAAGCTCTTGTTTTACTCGCCTTGTTTGGGGTTCAGCTACCTGATGACCTGACTGCCTGCCACTAGGAGGCACTGTGGATGAGGCTGTGATGGGGGGGGTGGTTTGGTGCTGATGACCTGCTGAGAATTTCTGCTTACTGAATTTTGCCGTTTGGCAGCCTTGTGCAGAGTGTTCATAGCGTGGTGAGACCAGCGCAGAGGCTTGTGCCAGTGTTTCCACAGAACGGCCGTAGTTGTGCTCGTACTCGGCGTAGGCTGCCAGTAGGCTCTCTGAGCAAGATCTGCTTCCAGGTCCTGATACACCGCCCCAGCCCCCTAGCCAATAGGAATCATAGGAAGCAGTAGCTGCCTGGTGGTGGTACAGGAGTGTCTCTCTTCTGCGTTCCTCCACAGAGGATGTGGAAGCAGATGTGGGGCCGGGCGAGAGCGCCAACCCCAGCCCCAGCTCGGCTAAACGATCCTGAGATATACTGCGGTGGCGGGGGGACATGTGCTCAGCAGCCTCAGCCTGGCTGTAGTACCAGTCTGACAGAGCCTGGTGGCAAAGAGCATCGGTGTGAGTGCGGGCAGAGGCCGGCAGGCTGCTCTTCCGTGGCGGAGGCAGAGTTGCAGAGGCGATGGCAGCATTGTGGTTAGCAAAGTGAAAGTCCAGCGCATTGATGGCCGACGCGGAACGGCCACGGTGCCACCCGGATGGGGCAGAGTGGCCACTGGAATTCCCAGGACCCCCGGGCCAGCCGGAGGTGGGGGTAGAAGTAGCGGGGTCACGATTGTCCAGTGGAGAGGTGGTGGGGCCGGGTCGGCACTGCCTGTTGTCCAGAGGACTGTGGAGGTTGTGGCTGGGCTGTGGGGTAGTGGAGCTGGGCTTAGCGAAAGGGTAACAGAGAGGTGGTGGATCAGGAAGCTTCTGGGCCTCGCCTGAATATGGCTTATTGCCTTTCAGGTAGGCATCCTGGGGGTACACCTGAGGACAAGAGGGGTTAGGACACAATGTAAAACAAGACAGAAAGGATCAAAGAACAAAGATGGAAGGAACAGCTAGAGGGCAGAGTGAGGCAAATGCAACATGCATCCAAAATTGCTGGAGTATAAATCTGCCTTTAATCAAATCTTAAAAAGTTAATTTGATACTTTTGTCATTGTCAACAAATTAAAAGACCAAAATCAACAATGAGTCTCTCTCTCATCAACGCCTACTTAAGACTTAAACACATTACAAATATATAATTATTAGTGCTGGGCACGCTTAAAATTTTTAAAGTAGCAATAAAATATTTCTTGTAAATCTCAACTTAACCATTAAAGTAATCAAATCAAATATTAAACCAAAGCTATTTGCCACTGCTTTTATCTAGCTTGTTAAAACAATTTAGAGTCCAGAGCCACGATCATAACATCATAACATCATAACATCATAACGTGACGGGAATTCACACGGCAGAGCATCCCCGCAATTCTAGATGAGGGCCTATCAGGTACAGTTATGTAGCCTATAATTTTAACTTAAGTTAAATAGGCTACAGCTGTGTAGCGCACAGAAGCAGTTGCCATGGTTACTCTCCATAGAGCGCCTGCTGTTAACTTGCGGAGTGCTTGTCTCCCTGACGTTCACCTGAGGAGGCCAGAGCGAACCCGCGGGGTCAAGCGACTACGTTGTGATTTTAAGGATATTCCTAAGACCGACATCTTCCCCAGTACTAACCAGCATGCAGTGTGCAGCTATATCCACTTCACTATGGCATTTGATCGCTTGTCTTGCTTTTGTTTATCTACTTCTCCCACACTCTGCATCCAGCGTAGTCTGCCGAAGCCTTTCCTCCGCTGCTTGTTTGGGTGCCTGATTTGCAGGCTGATCAACATGTGACCCATGGTTTGAATGTATGAGTATTCAGAGCCAGTGAGCAACGGATTTTCAAAATAATAATAATTTTTAAAAAACTGTGAAACGTGTGAAAAAATAATTGTCTGCGTTAAAGCGTTAACGTGCCCAGCCTTAATGATTATGCAAATTGGAGGAAATTGTGCATTGGTTGGTGCAGATTAATACATAATACACCGGTGTATGTAGGATTGAGACAGTGTGTACTGATACTTGGTCTGCATAAGGAATTTTTTGACAATACACTGACAAAAATGTGAATAATCTGAATGACCCGATCATTTAAACTAATCAGAAAACTGCCAACCCTTAATTTGAATATATTAATTCTTGATGTGTGTATTTTTTATGTAAAAAAATCTAGTCTTTTATACCCTCATCTGTACAAACTAATTTTGTTGCCTGCCGATTGATAATGGTACAGTCCTTTCTGCTCATGCACAATTCCACATTTCTGTAGTTAAACTTTTAATAAGCTAATTTAAGCTACATAATTTATGATAGAAATACACAATCCATGCTATTACTTACACAGCCTAGCTAACTGCCGGTCACTTCACACAGTAACAAGGTGAAAAGAAGGAAAGAATAGAAAATAGAAGAAAGATAATACTCACACTTACCAACTGCAACACATCCTCATCTTTTGGCATAATAGAGAGCTCCAGAATGTTTTCACTGCAAAAAAAGGACAAAGTATATATATATATAAATATTAACAACAGGTTAGACAGGTCAGATATGAACATGAAATGAGGTTTATCAACATTAGTCTCCCACCTGTTTTGGATGAGCTCGATCACTTGAGAGTAGGTTTTGCCCAGAATGCTCTCCCCATTCACCTTGACCAGCCTGTCTCCTGGAGTATGCACACACACACACACACACACACACACACACACACACACACACACACACACAGAAGAAGAAGGGTCAAATATGTGTTACATGGAAAGTTTTGGCATTAGAATTAGGTCAATCGTGCCTTCCACAGAATAAAAAGAGAAATGCCTACTTAATAATCGTCATGTTTAGTTTCCTTGACAGAGACTGAATACTTTATATTATATAAAAATAATGTTGTATTTCCATCTTTCCAATCCAAACAGCACTTTCCTTTAGTTTTTTCCTTTTGATGTTTCATTTTAGCATCTTTTTAGGAGATTATTAACGGTAAATTTAAATGCAGATTAATTTATAGTTTTATACCCAGAGGAGGAGGTAGTATAAATTGCAGCCCTGAGTAGTGCCTACAGTCTTCCTTATACACCTGGAGTTCATTTGGTCTGGACCTGCAGTCTCATTTATAAAACTGTGAGTAGAAACCTCACCAAAAGTGTACATACTCCCAAAAGCCATAAATGGCGTACGCACATCTGTAAGCAAGTTCCCTTTATAAATCACAATCAACTTGAAATGTGGAGCATGTGAGGGAGCGCCATGTCCGACCCTCCAAACGCCCATAGTTGGCTATAAATGGTCAGTGAAACGCCCCTCATTATATTAATACGTACTGACTGCATGAAGAAAAGGAAGGAAATTCTGACAGAAAAGTTACAAAACGAAATTTAATTAATTTTAATTTTGGTGAAACTGAAGTTGTTTGGTAAAAAACGCACTTTTATGCTACGCTTGTGCACCGGAGCTCCACCCCTTTCTAACCGATCTGCAGGAAGGGACGGGATTCCCCCGTTTGAAAAGAGAGTAAACCAAATGCATTCTACTTGTGTTTAAACATTTATTTAGGTTACAGAAACAGTCCACTCACTTAATGAGGCGAACAATGACTTAAAAGAAATATGACTTGTAAATGACATAAAGTAGTGTTATATTTCCATAACGTGTTTTTACAAGCAGCGCATCACATCCACACGCTGGCGCACAGCGTTTGGCTCGAAAAGGCAACGAACATGGGATAACAATAGGCAATATGAAACTATGCTCTCCTATTTGCTCGACTGACGCATTGACAACGGCATCAATTTAAATGTGATTTGTCCTCCTGTTTTATTTGTCCACCTTATTTATGAGAATAAATTGCGCTGCATGCAAGTATTAATTAATATGATTCTGGATTAAACTGTACAACATATTTGAGGTGTTCTTTAGCAGAAACAGATATCTCTGTTTGTGTTTTTTATCCTAAATCTGGATCTTTTTGTGCGCTGCAAATGATCTTAAATTGTGTGTTTTTTTGAGCGCTTCAGGGAAAGTCAATAAAACAGGTGTTTGTTTATTCAGAAAGGCTTTAATACTCAGGCCTACAATACTCAGAGATAATATTTCAATCTATTTTACACAATAGTAGGCCTATTCATTTCAAACCAATTCATCTTTCTGCCATGTGAGTCGCCGTTTCTCATTTCTCCTCTTTATGTGTGTACGCATGGTTCAGAGTTTACTTACACATTCTCCTGCCAAGTTTGTCTTTTATAGATCACAACCTTTGCTTGGGAAGTGGCGTACGCACGTTTCCAGCCCTGTTTTGTACGTACGCACAGTTTATATATGAGACCCCAGGCCTGTTGTAAAAGAGAGGTGCGCCACTTTCATAGCCTAGAAAAGGCGGAATTAATGTGTGACGTCAGCCAGCAATAGTTCCAAAAAGTAAATAGTTCCAGCGTTGAACCCCAATAATTTTCAGTTTCCCAAGCACGCTTACTGGTAAGTTAATGAAATAGCTGACATTTGAACACATTGTACTTTCAGATGTTCAAAAGTTCACAAAACTTTGAATTTGTGTACGCCACCTCTGATCAACAGGCAGTGGAGAATGACTGTGTACGCTGGTGATGTTCGATGATGTTTCAGTAATAAAGTAGGAAAATGTAGCATATATATATATATTTCTTTTTTTAATAATATTTCATTAATAATTGACAGTGAAGACTGTGATTTAGGCAGCTGAACAGTCAGAGGACCTGATAAGAGTGTGATGACCTAAGCTCTGCTGTATCTTATGTCTATCACATGACATTTATATGTCTGTGTGTGTGAGTGTTCTACCTGTACACAGTCCAGCTTGTTGGGCGGGTCCATTTTCTTTCACACTCTTCACGAAGATGGTGTCCATTGGCTCCAAAGAAGACCACTGACAACCTGCTTAAACACACACACACACACACACAGACACACACATCCAGCAAACATTTCTGGTACTGAAAATTTCCACAAAACACTGATACTCATATATTCATCCAAACTAAATGCCATTAGGCAGAGACCTGAAACACTCACCTTTTCCAGTTTCATTTCCATTCTCTTCATCCTGTGGGTGAAACGCAGAGCAGGTGTTAGAGGAGTGGAGGACCTCAGGGGGGCGCTGCTTGGCTCACACTCAACCCAAAATGACTGACTCCAGCTGACTAGGCACGTTTGGGCTGTCAGCTGTCTGACTGATTTATTTACAGTTTGACTGAGTATCTGAATGTCGCACTGACTGACACACTGACTCCCTGTCAGTTTGACCGCCTGTCTCACTGTCTGTCTGTCTGACTGGCAGGCCTGCTGGCTGGGTCTATCTCGAGGCTTTGATGCTTCGCTGACTTAGCTCATTCCTGACCTGAACACACAAAGGGCTCTGCACACCGACAGAGGCCTGCTGCTACACAACACCAACCTCTCTCCAGGCCATAAGGACCCTCTACAGTACTACAGTACCCATAAGTGTATGTAGCTGTAGGGCCTGTCTCACTTTAGACAAAGGGTCAGATTGACTTCCAGGTTATATACAACACCTTGAAAGTGCACACAAGTACAAAATCAAGCCTGTCTGATGTTTGTGGACTTTGGTTTGACATGGCAGCATAGAATTTTTTTCCACGTACACTGGTATACGCACAGACCACAGACAGACAGATAACACACACATGCAAATATTGCTGTTGTGGTTGTTGTTCAGCTGTTTAATGTCCTGAGAGTTAGATAAGAAGATTGATATCAATTCCATGTTTGTATGAAGCTAGAGCGGGGAGGAAATTAGCTAAACTTAGCATAGCATAAACACTGGAAGTAAAGGGAAACAGCCAGCCAGGTTCTGTCCAAAGTGAAAAAAAAAACATGCCAACCAACACCTCTTAAGCTCACTTACACAGGATTACACAGGGATTGTTTAAATAATCCCGTACATCTCCAGCTATATCACAGGTTGCTAGATTCAGTCAGAGAGCACTGGTTTTGGTTTTCTGTACAGGCATGATGGTACCAAATCTGGCGACCTGAAAGCTGGACCTCACTGCTGGTCGGCGAGAAAGTTATTTATAAAACCATAAATTGTCAACCCTACGTTTCTGTTTGTGTACCATTAAACAGATGTGATATAACTAACTCCACCTCTGTTCATTGTACACATAGAGATAAGATTGATATCAATCTTCTTTTCTCACTCTCAGAAATAAGGCAAATAGGTGTATTTGACAAACTGTTAAACTATTTATTTAAGACCTTACACATTAGACTCCCCATATGATTTTTCATTTGTTTGAAATTTGGTCTGTATAAAGTTATGGATGTTTTGCTGTAGACTGCTGTAGAGCAGAAGTGGAGTCAAGACCTGCTGGTTTGACATTACAAATAAGAAAACAAACTACTTTTATCAATCCTCTTATTATCTTCTCCTCATAGATAATCAAATAAGATTATCAACAAGCTTATTACAAAGTAAGCTTAATGTTCTGCAAGTAATAAAGTTTCAAAATGTGACACAGACCCTCAAGCTGGCTTTAGTTGACCACATGACCCTGTCATTTGGTATAGCTTTAGCTCTTTAGAGTAGTGGTTAGTTTAGCAGATTAGCTCTTGATGGCCCATTACATGAGAGTGTTTTCTGTGTGATCGCTTATGCTCAGCCTGTGCTGGCCATTTACTTTATGATCACCATATTAATTCACATCTGTAATGCACAAAATTGTGTGGTGACTTTTTTTGTGTTCACATGGTTTGCTGTTACTGCCTATTATTATAAAACACAACATCCAATATACAATGTCTAATTAGCCTCTGGATTCTTATCTGATGTTTTTCCCATATTTCCACAGGGGTAAAACTCATTGCCAAGTGAAAGTGAAACTGTAACACTGGTATCCTGAAGTTCCTCCACAGGCCCCTCCATGCTCAACACTTTTGAAAAGGTTTCAGTAGCCTTTCATTTAGTGGTGCTAATCAGCAGAGTTTCAGGGGTGGGACCACAAATCAACCACGTCATCGCCAGCATTTCCATAAATACCCACATGTCCTAACTCCTCCCCTTCGCTCTCATATCCTGCATCCCTCCCCCCACCCCTTTCTCTGTCCTGCCTCCTGATCTTCTTCCTCTCCATAGTGTTATAAGGGGGTCCGTCGTGCCCGGGTGCTACGCCGGATTTCCTTATCGTAGCTTCCCCATAACGCTTTCGAATGTGTCTTCGGCAACCGCAAGCCTCATACATCTTTCTGTTTCGATCATCAATAAATCATTTAATCATACCTGTTGACTGTGTGGTCCTTGCTAGTGAAATCCTCATAGTGGTTTGTTTTCGTACTTTATTTCCTAAAAGAAAAATTCAGGGCGAGCACCATCTTGACACTGATTTGTGTCTGAACATGAAACAGGACCCCACGGGTTCACATCACATCAGCTGTAGTTCTGTCATGAGTGAAAGTCAAAGGATACTAAAAGACAATACCCTCCCCAGCCACAGCCAAGCAATGCAGAAGTATCTGTAACACCAGACTACTGAGCAGTTCTTCGCTCAGGCAGGAAGACTCCTCAATTCATCCTCTGCACTCCAGCTTAAATATATTGACCTGCTGATAGTCCTGCACCTTTTCCATTTAAAAAAAGCCATACTTTTCCAAACTCAAACTTCCAGACTTCTATGTAGATTTTTCAGCCATATCTGACATCCGAGTACGAAGAGCTAGATGTTTATTATGTAAATAAATGGTTTTAAAAATCCTGCTGTTAACATGTCTGTTACATTCTGACTATGCATGCTATCATGTTTCCAGAAGATTGTAGCTAGGTACTGCAGCTCATACAAAGCAATTAACACCAAACCCCTGTGGCCGTTCAGTTCACAATCCTAAGCAGAAAATTGGACGACGTTCCACTGTCACAGCCCAAAGAGGAAGTAAACTAACAGATTCTACCTATAATCTTATTATTTTCCCTTAAAGATATTTAATAATATTATATTATTGCTTCCTCCATCCCATCTTTTATGAATAACAAACTAAACAAAAAAAAAAACGCCAATAAGTATTGGCTGTTCTTTCTGGGGTCCTTTAAAATAAAATTATAATGCAACTAAAATATACAATTTTTTTGTCCACTGCCACAGAACAGTCTACTAACCTTGATGTTGTGGAGCGAGGACTCTGGTGGGTAGACAATGAAGTGGCGCAGAGTGAAGCCAAATCCCTGCGAGTTCTTCTGAATGAAAATGGTCCGTGGGCCCTGCCACAGCACGCCCTCCACCTCACCTGATGACAGCGGCCGGCGCCTGTTCTCATTGGACGACACCATGCCATCTCGCCGCCCTTTAGCCTATTGAGAAGAGAAGATGGATGTTTCAAGATGGCAAGATCAATAACGCTTAGCATTCCTTTTCTTCTTTGTAGGAAATAAACACTGACAAAATGTTACCATGTGAGTCTTACAAGTAAATCGTAAGTATCCTTTTCAGGGGTCTCCATTCAACTTGTGTGTGTGACTGTGTTTTTATCCACAGTTGAATACATTTAAGGGGGAGTGTGAGTGGGTGGATGTCGGCATATGTGGTCCATTCACTGAGTGCTCTGCCCAGATCTGACCAAGGCAGAATTCCACCAATGCAAGGAATTTCACAGACCCCCTCCCTCTAAAGAGGAAGCTCTATTTTCACCTATAATCACGTTTATTACCTCCAGCCAACAATGGCAGAGTTAAAAATCTAGACCATTTATATATAACAGTCATGGAACAACAGGAAATGATTAGGCCTCATAAGCAGTGCTCTGGAAATATCATCATATGGACAATAGACAAAGGGAGCATACTGCTTCACAACAAGTGTGACTAAAAACAGCCACTAATATTTCTAAAGGCTAGGAGGTGATAATTAAGCCAGTGTTTTAGATGCAGCAGATTCTTCAACGCTCTGCACAATTTAGTTGATAAAACAGATGTTGTTCAGCCTTGATAAGGCAATATATTGTAGCTCAAGCATGCCTGGGAACTGTTATTTACAAAACAAAAGTTTAAACTAAAGTTAAAGTCAACAGTACTAAAACATTCAACACATAAAGAACAGTGGGATCTACAAACCAGTGATGGTGCATGAATGAGACATGTGGAGCTATTACTGTAGCAGTACTATTTACAAATGTGAGTGGAGAGTTGTGTAACTGCATCTCAATCAGTGTGTGCGGCATCAGATTTGTAATTGTGTAAAAAAACAAGGAAGAAAACACAACTCAAAATCTCACATTTGCAAGTGTAGTGAGATTTGTAAATGTGTTGACAAATCTGCAAATGTGAAGTATTGTCCTCCAAAGAGCTGCAAAGCCATCAGTTACAACTCAGGCGGGCCTTTCAATTGGCTGGGTTTTTTATACGTGAGTTTTGCTACACATCAATTTATTAACAGAGGTTTAATTTCAATGACAGTTTACAACGTGCACTCTTGCTGCTGGGCAGGCAGCATACAGTGGTATGTGTTGTCAGTGGCAGGCAGTTGTCTGCTGTTGCTGGAAACCAGGTCGTTGAACAGTGAGACTCTCAGTGCTGGATTATGAAGAAAAAGTGAAAGGCCACACAATGACACACACACACACACACACACACACACACATCATTGGCACCAAAACTGATAGGCCTACTAACAGAAAAGCCCACACATTCATTATACACAAAAAAACACTCCACTCTACCAGTTACGAAAACAACAGGAAGTCTGTTTCTTGAGAAGAGGAAGTGGACGGCCAAGCCCTTCAGAGGCGTGATTTGGGGAAACCTTCACCTCTAAAAATAGTTCCAAAGAGGCAGGGAAGAGACACACTTTCCAGAGGGCAGCCAATCTTTAGATTACTTTTTCCATTATATGGTTAAACAAGGCAGCAAACATGGCTGCAGGCCACACATGCACTGTACAGCTGTATAATGTAGAAAAACATCCACATATCAAACACCATTGGAATGAATATATTAGCATATCTACCTTTATATGAGTAAAGGGATTTTAGATAAAGTTGTTTCCAGTTTTGAAAGTAAGTAAACCAACAATAAGTCAAAGCCTATGGCCATCATTAATGTAATTCATTCGTAAAAGGAGTTCAAATATAATAAAAGTATAATATTGTTTAATGTATTTGGCTTGTCCCTCTCACCCTGGATAACCCTGGTCTTTACCTGACACTGCCTGATTGCGCTGACTCAAATATAGCCCATCATTAACACCGCCACTCACTCAATTTACTTTTCATAGATTTTATTTTACATTTCTGTCGACAGCACTGGCCATTTCTTGGATTCAGTATTTGGAATGCAGACCTGTATTGTTGAGTAGTGAAATGATTTAGTTAGACCACAGCAGAATGAGCTCATCTGAGAGAAAGAGTGACACAATGCAAAAAGACACACACTCCCCCTGCATACACATATCACATAATAGATACTGACAGACGCTTTGTGAAAGAACACACGCACTCACACACACGCGGTGTATACTAGAAGCTAGATTTTCACACGGGAAGTGGATGGCCAAGTTGGAAACAGTGCGATCCTAAATGTACACTTGAACATACGATGCTAAAACACAACCACATACACCCCTTTCCTGCATATACACATATTATATAAAGCTACATGAATCTCTTTGCGTAGTGAGGGCATCATCGTCATCTCCCTTTCCCTCTGCTAGTCAACAGGCACCCACAGTGCTACATTACATAACACCTAAAGGAGGCACGCAGCTATGGCGTAACACACGCACAGATGCACGCACACGCACACGCACACGCACCGACATACTGAATCTTCCCCAAATGTGTAGATGATGGCAGGCTGGCAATAGTTCGACTCTGTGTATCCCCTATCCTCACAAAGGTTAAGGTCACCCACGGCAATGAAATGAACTTTGACTCCCTATAAAACCAGGAAACCCACACGGTAGAGGAGGACAGGCACGGTCAATAATGGTATCCTTCTCTTGCACTGATCAGAGCAGACAGTAAAGGTTAAAGCAGGATGATGGAAGAAGCATCCCTGGCGGAAATACACCTGCCCACAGTCATCAGATCAGACAGGAGATGAGGACCCTTCAGAAAGATGACAGCTACGGCTGTTTTTAGAGCTGCAGTCAAGCTACTATGTACAAGGATGGACCACAGACAAATTCATAAGCTAATCCAGTATACTGGAATGATACCACAGAACAGCAATGGTACACAACTGTCAAATGGAAGAGATGGTTGGATTCTAGATTTTTTTCACAGTATCTGCCTAGCACCAAACAGCAGACAAAGTTAACAACTACCTGGTGAACATAGTGGAACATTTAGCAGCTAAAAATCCAGGTATGTTTTCTCAGGAGTTGGTGGAGAGCAGAACAGAGCTAAAAGGAGAGTGAATAGTATGGTGCGTTCCATTTGACGTGTGAAGTCGTAATTTCCAAGTTCAAAGACATAAATTTCAACTGAAACGCCCCCTTAAGTCAGATTTCCGACTCGGAAAGTCAGGAGAACCACACCAACCCCGACCTCAAAATCCAAGATGGCTGCCCTTGGCATCAACAGAAGTAAAACCTGTAGTAATATCTATCTGTAGTCTTATTTGTGTCTCATTAAATCAGTCGTACACACTCTCCTGTCCAACTGGTATCGCCAACAATGGCCAGAGGCATCAATCTTGGTTTTTCGACTTAAATATGTTGTTTGCACTAAAACGCCATCAACTGTGTGACGTCTTGTGTTGTAGTCAAGACCGCCCAAACCGAGACCAAGCCAAGACCAAGACCAGAGTTTTTCGAGACTGAGACAAGACCAAAACTTTAAGGGGCTGAGACCAAGTTGAGACCAAGACCGAGGGAGGGCGAGACAGAGTCAAGACCAAAACCAGTTCCCCACATTACATGACACACAATAAAATGTGGAACGAGATCATAGGTACTTCTCAAATAGATCTGAAAGATCCACACTCCCATTAAAACACCCACATACAAACACTAAGAGCTGAAATCAAATTAAGCATCGTTATTCAACACTCCTTTTCCATGCAACACATTTTTAATTAGGGTTATTGGTTGCATTTGAAGCAATATGTTTTACATCCAATCAAAGTTAGGATGTTACCAAATAAATCAGAGTCCGAGATGAGACCCAGACCACCAAAAAGTGGTTTTAAGAGTACTACAACACTAGTGATCACTTTTTCTCATCTTCATAATGGATAGTAAGGTCTAATGCTGGAATCAGATTACAATACAATTACAATATCAGCCCAACAATGGCCTGACCCAACAGATGCATGGTATCAGAAACTTAAATAAATGAATGTAAGGGGGCTCCTTTTATCAAGTGTATTTTGTCATAATAAATGTAACGATGGATCTGAGGCACTTCATGCTGTCCCCACAAAAACTTAGGTGTTAGGATGATTTGCCTTCAATTTTTGAAAAAGATTTTCTTGAATAAAGTGGGTTTGGATGTTTTTGCTAACAAAAAGAGAACAAGAAAGCCAAAGATGTTTTAATAACTTTAATATAAATTCCTCAAACAATTAATCTACATGTTCAATAATGTTTTTGTAAGAACTTCCTACCTAAGGGGGTGTGATCGGATGCTCTTCCCCAAATGGTTCATTTGAATTTCTTGAGTCTGGCTTTAAACTCAGACTTGAAAATTCAGAGTCCAATGATGATCTAAAGCATGTTTCAGATTTTTTCAATCCGGACAAGACATTTCTTTGACTCTTGACTAGAATAAAATTGAATGGTAGTTAATATGGGAAAGGAAGAAATCAGGCATCGGCAATCCCAGCCCAAAACTGTTTCCCTTCTTACCAAGGACAAGCGATGGCGGTGCATGACCCTCCGGGAGCCCCGTCTTCTTGGGGACACAATGGGGATCCGTCGGGGTGAGGCACGAGGTGAAACATCCCTTAAAACTGCCAACCAAATACAGCGAGGTTCAGCATCACTACAGTCCACCCCGACAGAACACTGAAATCGCCACTCGTGGCCCGATGGAGCTGGTGCGACACCCGACACCCTCAGCATAGCACCTCCACATTCATACGCACATGTACTGTGCAGCAAACACAACACCAGGGGGTCACAAGCCTTCAGACCCCACAACTGAGATATTTGGTCACCTCTGCACAATCTCTGCTTGATGCATCATGGCCAGAAGTGACAATCAAGGGTAAACCAATAGAAAACACACTTCTCCACAGCAAGTCTACCACTCAACTGTCACAATCAGCACTATAAATGCAGAACCCCAAGTCTTGAATGTGAGAATTTGTAATCCTTGAGTTGGCTTTAGCTTGAGCTTCATCATTTGTATATA